CCCAGACGACAGGAGGGGAATTAATGTAGTGTGTGTTTAAGGGTGAGGAGACGAAGCCTCATTAGTGAGCCGTCTCTGCACACACTCTGCATCACACACACACACACAAGTACCGTGTGTACAGGCCATCACTTTTATCTGTGAGTGACATGGCTCTCTAATTACTGGGATTAAAAACTTTCCATGGCCTTCGTCTCCTCTACCTCGCACATAGACTTTCACACAGACACACAAATCTCCCTCACACTTCAAAATTCTACATTTACATTTATGATATTTAGCAGAATCTTATCTAGTGCAACTTACAGAAATGCTACTTGAAAAATGAATAACAAAAACCCTTAAAATACAAAGGTCTGTATATGGATCCCAGAACCAGCTCTACCTAATAAGCAACATAAGCAACTGCTGAGGGGCCCCAAGGCTGAATTATTACTGTAATTATCATTATGTTGTCTAAGATGTTCAAACGAGGGGTAGTGGTTGATCATGTCTCAAAAAAGAGAAGATGAGGAGAAAAAGCTGAAAGATAAAGTGGTACTACCATTATGCCATTTTTTGGCTTTTAGCTAGAAAACAAGAGGTGGTCAGTCTCGTTGGATTCTGAGACGTTCTGTGGGATTAAAATGTATCTTATTAATACTCCAAACTAACAGTGATTAACATCCAGTCATCAGCAATACACAAATTACCCATTATTTTTTAATAAAAATTTAGTAATCATTGTTATTAGCCTCTAATTTTACAGCACATAAGCTAGCAAGCTAACTGGTTTGCTAATGTTTAAGATTATATATAAGATACATATGTATAAATGTTTATCTTAACCTTGTGTGGTGTTCATGTTTTTGTTACTCAGTGGTCTGGTTGACCCACTGCATTATTGTTTTGTTTTTTTTTTAAATCAATACAGCCATAACAATTTATGTAAAAATACCAGATGTTTAAAATATCACAAGTGGCCAGCATAGGGTTCTCTTTAGCAGCTGTAGTCAGTCAGCAGCCTGTCCATGTTGTTCACCCTCACACACAGACACACACACTAACAGCAGGCTATGTAGGAGGAGAACAGAGTAAAGGGACACAGCACCTCCACACTTTTATTTCCCGCGGGTTCACCCAACACCACATGTGTAATATAAACGGGGGTGTACAGTATGAAGTCATTGAAAATGTGTTATATGTCCTTCACAGAAAATGAGCCAAGGCCAAGGAATCTAAAGGTTGAAATAATAATAAATCACATCATTTTTTCTTTTGGTAAACATTGAAAATGGGTCCCACAGACCCTAACACCACACAAGGGTTAAATTAGGCCTTGTTCTTATACACAATAATTCAGCACATCTTTTGCATATTAAAAATCAACAAAATTCATTTCTCCATCCTAGCAGAAACATATCAAAGAAGTTACTAAAATCCATGGTTCAAAACGGGACCTCAGAGGCAAAAATATACTCTCTTTTTTATTTTTAATAAACTATTTACAATGTTTAGGTCTGGGGGAGTTTAAACTAAGAACAAAAAGTCTCTGTAAACCTAAGTCTATGTAAAAGTCTTGATCTTGATGTTTTATGCATCGAAGCAGAATCTTGTAAAAAAGAATTGTGATGCATCACAAAGGGTTGCTTCTTTTTCCCGTCCCTACTTGTGATACCTCCAATCTTCAAACCAGCAACTCTACAGATGACAGAAAACCTTCAGATGACTAAATACTTAAAGAGCACCTATCCTACATTTTCCCTCTATTTTATATTTTTGCTTGTGATGAGATCCACTTATAATGTTTGTGTGGTTTAAGTTCCAAATTGCTTTTTAGAAGATTGGTTTCAAACCTTTCTTTATCCCTTGGAATAAGAGTTTTAGTTCCTGTGCCTTTTACTGTGAGTGATATATGCAAATGAGCTCTGTTCTGATCAGCTGTCCTGTTTTGGGCCTCATTCCAAAAGCAGTCTGAGCTGAAACACTCCTCAGAACTTCAGCTTGAATCAGAGGGCTAAACTGCTGTGGGCTGAAGAGGCAGATGTATGTCAGTGTGTTGGTTTTGGTGACATCACAAAAACGAATTCAAAAAAAATGAATTCAAAACAGATTTGTTTGTTTTTACAGCTTAACTGGGGAGTGAACAGTATGTTTTGAAACCTTAACATTCACATACTAAATCAAATTCTTTCTTTTCAAAGAAATGAGAAAATTCTTTTTTTCATGGAACAGACCCTTTAAGATCAATGTACATTAATGTAACAAGACCCTTATTCAAAGTCACTTTGGACCACTTTTATTGGCCCATTGATCATGAACTGTTCAGATAACATAACAGGCTGAATAAAACATAAAAACTGAAAAAAACATGGAGCTATAATACAATAGGTTTATAGTAGTTAAAGAATAATGTATAATAATTATTGAAGAGTTTGTCTTAGTATTAATAACTGAATAATGAAGCTTGCAGTTTAAGGGGTTAACAGGCCTTTGAGTTACGACACTAAGACACTGAACAGGAGAGCTGATAGGTAGTATTAAAATATGTTTATTAGGAACGTTGTTTAACCTTTAGGACAAGTTGAATAAAATGTAGTCCTGAGCACAGACACAGACTACTTATAAAACTGGCTGCGTCACTTTGTTCCGTGTGGAAGGCTGGTGAGACATGTGCATGCATGTGTATGTGGGCGTGTGAGAAGGGAGGAGAGCGAGGGAGCGAGGGAGTGAGGGAGCGGGGGAGGGAGGAGGGAGCTGAGAGGAGAGCCGTAGGAGGGAGAATCTATTCAGAGAAGAGAGGAGAGGAGGCCTCTGCTGTGGCTGAGAATCCAAGGAGAAGGGGTTGTTCTCTAAGTGTGGGTGGCTTCAAAAATTAGGTCTGGATCACAAGTACAGCAACTGTTCAATTGCTCACGCCACTGTTGATGAAAATAGATCAGGGTGGAAGAAAAGCAAAAAAAAAATAAAAATCACAAGAGGCTGGATGCTGTGTCAGAGAAACGCATGTGTGTGTCAACCTTTTTGAAGAAGGAAGAGAGAAGTGATCTTGCAATCTGGGATTGCTGTATGGGTGTAAAGTTGCCCTCCAGACCCAATCTAGGTGGGGTTCACTCAAGACGTCACCCCATGTCATCTTCCCCATTACTTCTGTTATGATATGTTTACCCACTGCTGTTAACCCCCTAAACCACAGACTTGCTATTCTGTTATTAATCTTAGGACTTGTCATTCAGTACCTGCTCATAAATTATGTGGTAACTACTATGAAACTAACACATTGTCGTTATCATATAAACACCTTGTAACCCTGGTATTTCCCATTTTTATTTAGTCATTTTTCATCATGAGCGATGGCAGCTGACTTTTATACTGTGTAAGCATTTCATAATGAATGGACCAATAGAAATGGTCCAGATGACTTGGAATAAAATCTTTTGGTACACTCTCAGAAATAAAGATACTAAACTGTCACCGGGGCAGTAAACATTTTGTCACTGGGGTTTCAATACCTTTGGTCAGGGAACATAATTGTACCATAATCCAGTGAAATTACATTTTCTAAGTTGTACTGGCTCCACACACCCCGTCTCGTCTCCAGGCTCTTTACTTTATTGTTCTGTTTTAAAACGTTAGGTTATGAAAAACTACAAATATGTACTTTTCACCTGTAAAAACTTATTTAAGGTACAAAATTGGACCTGTTGTACCTTTTAGGGTACATTTACATTGTTTGTACCTTGATGAACAAAAAATGTACCTGCACAGCATCTTTATTTCATAAGAGTTACATTGTTTTTCACTTTTTCCTGTAAAGTTGCCATTTTGGAGATATGAGAGTTTATTAAAACTATCAAAAAGTGATAATATGTGAGTTCTGTAATTGTGAGAGTGAGGAATGGAGGTGTGGGTTCACATGCAAACCTTTGATATCTAACATTGTATAACAGGGGGAGAATGAATACTTCTAAACAATTTATTCCCAAATTCTACTTATGATACCTAAGGGTACCATAACAAATAAAATAGTTAATCCTGGCATAAGATGCCTCAGCTGGTTGGAAGTTCTGGTTGTGCAGCAATCTAAAGTAACAGTTCCTTTGAGGAGGCACAAAATACAGATATTTTGTCAGCAAACACCTCAGTTTCCTCTCATCTGGTCCTACAGCTCCAGCACATTAGCCCTCCGCTCACATTGGAGATATTTATAAGTTCATTTCATTGGAGCAGTTCATGGCTGTAAGTGGAAGGCACTGAATCAAACAGGCTCCTTAACCATTTCCAAAAGAAGGCAGTTGAAAGGTTGGACAGCCTCAATGGATGCAATCAAGCAGGTTCAAAATAAGCCAATAAGTTTAAAATTCTACTTTAGGACAGTGACAGTGCTCTGCCGGAAAAACTAAACAATTAAGCAACCAACAGGCTGTTGATAGCTCCTTTTTCCCATTAGCACTCCAGAAGTTGAAAAAGATTCCAAACTTATTCAAATACAACTTTCCTCCACTAAATCAGGGAAGCCATGACTGCGTTTTATTGTGGTTTTGCAGCGGGACGTACGCTCGGCACAACACGATATTTTTTCCGTGTCGACTTTCCCGGATGCCTTCCATTTAAGTCGAGAAGGGCGTGTTTTTGGGTCACCGGATGAAACCCATGTATGGGGGTGACCTGACCGGAATTCCTGACAGTGCATGCATTTGGTTTAAGAAAGTTGGCAAGCAGACCTCTCGTCAGGAACGAAAAAAATAAACAGCGAGTAGCAAATTAAAACAAAAACACACATACAAACTGCCGTTTAGCGTGCAGGCTGTCAGAGTAACTCCGAGTTAGTCTGGAAAACACCACCATAACGCATGGAAGATCACGGCTCGCGAGGTAAGGGCTCCCAGTGTTGTCGTCAGCGGCGCTGCCCATTACGAGCCCAACCCGCTCTTTTTTTTTTAAAGCTCATGTCCTTATATGGTCAGTGACGTCACCGGTCATCCACAGCCTCCTCTTAAACGCTACTAACACACGGGGCTCACTTATCTATCAGACATGCGACAGCTGAAGGGTGAATCCACCACAGGCGAACAGGCCTTCAACCCAAACCAACATGTCCAGTAAAGCCGCTGTCATCTTCACTCCTACCTGCTGAATTATAATGCCCGCGCCTGCTCTGCTCCAATTCACACAACCGAGCGATTCTGAGCAACTTTTCCGCGGCTTAAAATGACGACTAAAACTGTGGATAAAGTGGCCGAGTCGCTCAGTGAGTTCCTGCGCTCCATCCCGGTGTACCCCATGGATGAGATCCCCTCATCATTACCCAGCGGCTTTGCTAATGTAGACGCGGGAAACGGCTCTGAGTTCAGTGAGGCGGCGGGAGGTAAGACCGAGACCAGCCACTCCACCTCTTCACCTGTTAAACGAGTGTAGCGGTGTTCCGTCTCTCAGCCTCTTCCAGGAGATTCTGGGAGATTCATTCAGTGACGGTTAATGCCGTGTCCGGGCTTCTCTGAGCCGTCACTGTTTCTGTTTCTGTGTGAGATTTGAACGGTCGAGTTAAGTCAGCTAAGCTATCAACAGACCACGCTCTGGGGAATACTTGGACTTTTTTAGGCTGGAGGTGGGGGGTGGGGGTCTTAATTTCTGGAAAACCTCAAGTAAAACAATGTCAGCAAATAAACAGCAGGTATTTAAACCGACTTTTTTTACTGCGGAAATAGTTGTTTTGAATGTTCTGAATGAACTGTGAACGCTGCAGATGTGGGCAGCAACTAGTTAGCCTACATTTATTTCATTCCATATGCCGATCAAATGGAACCACTTGAGCGTTTTCGTCTGTTTACTTGTGTTTTTTACTTTTGCTTTTGAATATACAGGGATATTTTTGAGCAAATGAATTTTACCCTTTCCTCAGCTCCACTTTAGTCATAAGCATCTTTAATTTTTTGTGTTTAATTTAATTTTAGTCTGTTCTGTTGGGGAGTCTGGGCTGTTTTCCAGCTCTATAGGGAACTCATTACATGGGTAGTTTTGGTGCCTGATGGTTGCTTTGACTTTTATTTGACTCGTCATTTTATATATTTATCGTAAGTTTTACTTGAGCATGATTTTGCACCCCTAACCCCCTCACTCTCTGCTGAGCCCTGCCACTACAATATGCCTCATTATCTAAAAAGGAAAGGCGTAACATCCTGATAACTGATTTAACGTAAGTCTTCGTTTGTTCTTACCTGACAGGTGGCCTGAGCGCTGACAGCTTCTCCGTGGAGAAAGAAAGTCTGGACTTTGCAGAACCTCAGAACTCGCCTCTTTCCTACACGGGCAAAATCTCCATTGACTCTCAGTTCGCGCAGGGCAGCTGGACTCAGGAAGGTCTGATCAGCCTGGTGTGTGCGGAGGTAGAAGGCAAGACCACCGCCCTCCCCGCGCTCTCCTCCGCCTCGCCAGCGCCCACAGACCTCTCCGGGGCTCCAGGGCCCCCTGAAGGGCCCGGAAAAGCCCCCTCCTCCGCAATGGAGCACATGTACACGCCGCCCCCTCCCTACACCTGCAGCGCTGATGTCTATCAGGATCCCTCCGCGTACTCCTCCGCCACCTCGTGCGCTGTAACGCACCCGTGCGCCATGTCCTACTCCTCCTCGCCGAAGCCCACGGTGGACGGCGCGCTCTTCTCCATCTTGCCGGACTACGGGGGCTTTTATCAGAGTAGCAGTGGGCCACGGGACGTCCCACCTATTCTCCAGGACCGAAAGCCCTTCTCGTGCTCGCTGGAGTCCGTCCGAGTCCCCCCGCCGCCCCTCACGCCCCTCAACACGATACGCAACTTCACGCTCGCGGAGGGTCCGCGGGCGCCCGCGCGCCTCCTCCTCCCGCCTCCGCCGCCCCTCGCGCACGCCGCCCCGCTGCGCCCTATTGCGCGCCCCCGCAGGTACCCGCCGCGCGCGTGCAAGACGCCCGTGCACGAGAGGCCGTACCCATGCCCGGCCGAAGGCTGCGACCGCCGCTTTTCGCGCTCCGACGAGCTGGCGCGCCACGTGCGCGTGCACACGGGCCACAAGCCCTTTCAGTGCCGCATCTGCATGCGCAGCTTCGGCCGCAGCGATCACCTCACCACGCACATCCGCACGCACACGGGCGAGAAGCCATTCGCGTGCGACCTGTGCGGCCGGAAGTTCGCCAGGAGCGACGAGCGCAGACGCCACGCGAGGATCCACCAGAGACAGAGCGAGAGGCGCGAGCGCGCGAGCCAACAACAGCAGCACCAGCAGGAGCAGCAGCAGCAGCCGCCCGCTGAGGGCGCGAGGTGAAGGAGCAGCTGCTGCTGGACACATATGGCACGAGCCTCCGTTATTATCAGCACGGGACAGCACTGCGCTGAGCCGTGAAGGCAGCTTTAACGTGAGCTCGGCGTGTGAGCGTGTTTATCTTTTTCACTGTAAGTCTGGACCAGTGGGTCACTGTCCTGATGCTGGATGACCCTCTGCTGCACACGCTGGAGTTTTCTCTGCGCTAACACAACTGATCCAATTATTCAGCTGAGTAACAGGTCCTTCAGGTGTGTTGCAGCAGAGAAAACGTTCAGATGTTCAGGACAGGGGTACTCCAGAATCAGGATTCACTCAAAAAATGAAACAAGGGGTTTGTTTGACAAACTGCAGTGTGTCAAAATTCATTTTCAACAGCAATTTAATTTAATCTAGGGCACGTGTGTCAGGCTCCAGTCCTTGCGGGCCGAAACACTGCAGACTTCAGCACACTGCCTCATTAAACACACCTAATTCAGCTCATCAGCTGATTAGCAAGGCCTTCATGAACTGAATTCAGAGTGTTAGATGAAGGTAAACGCTGATCTCCACAGCACTTTGGCCCAGAAGGTCCCCTGTTTGACATGCCAGTTCTAGGGCCTGAACAATAGGAAATTTTTGACTGATACTGATATTGATTTATCAGTTTTAAAAATTCCTTGTAATACTGGCCAATATACTCTAATACTTTTAGTTACCCCTATTGTACCTAATGTCTCATTGGCAATGCATTCAAAGTCTCGTCATTAAAATCTGCTGCTAGAGTAGTTACGACATTCAGATTAGGGATTATTTATTTGTTTCATCAGAGTAACAAAAATGGTGACTAAAGTGTTGAGTATCTGTTTTCAGCTGTTAGATCATGTTCTTTACATATTCAAGTAAACAGCTTTGAGAAATGAAGTTAATAGAGGCATAAAAAGGAGATTAAAATACAAAAACACTGTTTTTTACACTATAAAATAAGCCACTAAATATCGGTGGCCTATCAGCGAGATTTGTGCCGTTATACCGATAAATCGCCAGGACGCCAATACGGTCAGTCAGCTGATATATCAGTCAGGCCCTAGTTTCAACTGCATTTTAAACCCATATAAGTTGACTTTATTTTAGTGAAAAAGTGATGCATAATTAAATTATGGTTAACAGTTTCTTTTTCTGAGTGTTGAGAAGCACTGGTCTGGACTGTAGAAGCTTCTGTTAAAAGTTTCAAGCTCTGTCTATTCTCGTTCTTGTAACTAAACTGTCTAAAAAGTTTACTGTTTAAAAATTTTAGCGCTGCTAGTGTCCATGTTCGTTTTCAGATGTGGACGGATCACTGCAAGAAATAGATATTCATCCTATTCTTTACTTGCCTAGTGTCATCTGAAGTGTCAGTATGATGCTCGCTCTTACTTTTTTGTGCTGACTTGTTTTGGGAAACTGAGCCTTTATTCAGAACTTTGATTTGTTCTTAGTGTGTCCTTCTAACATTTGTTCTGTACACAAAAGACCTGTGGCAAGATCTGTTACAAGATGTGAACCTGCAGCTAATTTACTTGTGTTGTAAATGGACAAATAAACATAGACTGGATTCTTTACAGAAGTTGGTGGTTGTGGCAAGAACAGCAGAGATTTATGCAGTCATGCATTACATACACAAACCACTAGAGGGGGCTCTTTGTCAAACAAACTGCACAGTATAGCCTCTCTTGTCTGGTCCTGCACTGTAAACTGTAGTGCATTTTCTTGCTCTGACACACCAAATTCAATACTGAAAAGGATTATTCGTGGATTAGTTCAGTGATTTCCAAGGGCCTGTTTCCTAGACCCAGATTAAACCCAGGCCAGACTAAAAAGAACATCTAATGGTGATTCACAGTTGGCACTGCAATTTACTTTAAGGCTGAGCTTAATCCATGTCTGGGAAACTGACCCTAAAATGTGCAGGGCAGGGGTACTGCAGGACCAGGACTGAGAATTACTGATAGGGGCCTATCATTTGGTAAGAAACAAAGTGAATATTGGAATGTTTTACATGAATCCAAAATACTTTTTAATGGTACTATAGTGGGAGACCATTTAGTCTAAAATAACCTGGCAGCAACTGTTGAGATTTTGTAAAGATTATCCAAATGTGTGTGATTCCAAAACAACTGCAGCTCTTCAAGCTAAATTACATCAGTTGTGTCCCTCCCTCTTTTATAAAAGCCCTATTCATACACTAACTTAAGTTACATTTCAAAGGTGTAATAAATCTAGTAATGCCTTGATTCACTTGCAGATGACCAGAAATTTAAATCTTGTTATTCATTTGCTACTCTAAAGCTCCTTGTTTGATTTGGGCTCAGAGTGAAATGAACATGGGTCGAGCTATAATGATCTTCACTTGCAAGCTGCACATAAAAATTCCTCATCTACAATTAGCATTGGTCCCAGTTGCTTGGCCTCATCAGTTTAACGTTGGGGAATGTACTCAAATGTAGCTTACTAACTAGGACAGAGTCCACTCAGTTAAAATCAAAGATAAAATATTATGCTAAGGTTGTGAAACCTTGGAAACCTTTGTTAATGTACCACCAACCGTGTAAACACTCCTGTTCCACCTCACACTCCATGTACATAAAATACAAGAGACCTAATTCTCTGACTCAAGGAAACCATCATTCAAATAAAGAGCCGAAGCATCAAATTTGCTTTGAAATAATCAATATTTATACACATTAATAAAGCAGGCAAAAGGAGCCTTCATAGCCAGACAGGCCAAATCACAACTGATATGGTGAGACAGCAGCAGATTTGTTACACTTCAAAAAAACATGAAGTTGCTCATTGAGTCCACAGTCCAACTTGTTGTCAGGAGCACACACACAAACTGCCGAGATAAGGGGAAACTGAATTTTCATGGTCTTCCAGTCTTTCTTGCAGTCGAGGTTTTCCACGGCCAACGGTTACACTGCGGGTGGAAAAAGTGATGCACTGATTTTTCCTGGATTCTAATGTTTATATAATTTCCACATTAAAAAAATACATCACATCAGCACAACTACTGCCACAAGTACATACATGACAAAACTGTGTTGATCTATTTTGTTCATGTGGAAATTATGTACACAGTAGAATAGTGTCAATTCAATGCTTCACTTTTTTCAGTGTTAAGTCATACAAGCAGGCGGTTTCCTTCACAGAGAAACTTTTGGCCCAGGGTAAGGTTCACCACCACACCAGAACTCGCTGGGCTGTGGGATCTCCATGAGCCACACTTGGGTCTGCTCCTGACCTTCTGCCCTTTTATCTGCCCCCTCTGACCCCGGCTGCAGCACTTTGTAGTAGTGACAGTCCCTGCCGTCATCCGGGTCATACGGCGGTGCCAAAATGTCGAGGAAGGCGGTGGGCCCGTCCACGGCCTCGATTTGGTGAATATTGTCCTTGTGCGGCGATAACACGCACGGTGCGTGCTCCTCCGTGTATTCCCCAACTGACCGACGCACAGAGGGCCTTAGAGAGCTTTTCTGGAAGGGCAGTAACGGTGGGTTGAACTGCCCCCCGCTAGCACTCTCAGATGACATGTCCAACCTGTCAAAACAACTGATCCTGACCTTGCCGTACAGAACTTTCAGCAAGCCGTGCATTCCTGGATGGTCGTGAAGGGGAATGGAGGTCCCGTGTTTGAGCAGAAACACCCCCATGCTGAAGTCGTCCGTCTCGCAGATGTGCATGTAGGTGACGGGAGGACCCAGCGCGTGAGGCGCCGCCGAGCTCTCAGCGTATCGGGGTACAATCTTTAAATCTGCCGCCTTCACCTGGGCCAACAGGCTCCTCAGCTTGTTTAGGCTCTCCAGGAATGCTTTGGTCTCTCCAGCCGCAGCAGTAGAAGCGTGGTTGTGGAAGGTGGCGAGGGCTTGTCTGGCTAGTTTCTGGACGAGGGAGCTCATGTTGTCCCGAGGCATCATACCGAGAGAGAGAAGAGGGAAGCCCGAAGCCTGAAACCCACAGCAGCCGCTCTCGCCGTGACCGTTAGCCAGCGAGTTCAAGTTCAAGTGTTCCGCGCGGAGCTCCAGCAGATTTCTAAAGACCACCCGAAACTCTTCCCCGCTCCAAAATGAATTAGCCGACCACTTGGGTCAAACGTGACGGCCACCATTTATCAAAATAAACAACAATATACAACCGCAAACTATATGAAAACCATATCATTCACCAGCTCCGCATCCCCATATACAGTGATCTGATCTACACGTCCGCAGTGACGACACTGCAGCACGAAAGAGTCGGAAGTCTGGGATATGTAGTTCCGCCCGCGCGGAAACCTGTGACGCTCCAGTCGTTTGTGACTTAAAATTCTGGCGTCTTAGCTCTTATTTGTTAAAGTGAAAACATTTTATTCAGGATAAAAAGTCTCTCATTTCTAAGCAGAAGAAACGCAGTGGAGGCATAATTACTCAAGGAGTGATACTACAATACCCATAGTGCCGGCCTTTTATGAGGCGAGGGAACATATAGAGCAGACTTCTCACGCAGAGAGCACAGGGCACAGACCCCCTGAGTAACAGAATTACTGAACAGCAGAGGGTCTTCACCTTCGCCCTGAAAAAGCAAAAATTTATATTTGGTGAACCATTTCTTTAAAGGGCCTATATCAGTTTTTTTCCCACTTTTTTGAAATGTGAGGGTCTGATGTAGTATGTAAAGATCAGAGTTTCGATATGTGGGATTCATTCCCCAGTCCATATATGCCTTTTTGTGATGTCACTAAAGCTGACATATATACACAGGAGGTTAGCCTGCCCATTTACACTTAAGTTTTAAGGAGTGTTTTAGCCTGGACTGCTTTTTGAATAGGGCGCAACATGGGGTAGCCAATCAGAACAGAGCTCATTTACATCAATCAGCCTTAAAGGCATAGTAACAAAAACAGCCTGTTTAATCCAAAGGGACAAATATGTTAAATGGTAATGTAAAAAAGAACTATGACTTTTTGGCACATAAAACTACACAACGATGGTAAGTGAATGGTAGTTTCGCATGGTTTAACCAGTGTTAAACCATGTGAAACTATGTTCAGAAGGAGATGATGCATACCCCGATCAGTTAATATAATTTCACAATTATGTATGGAAACAATTCATAAGCATTACGCAGCCTAAAGTTAAGAATGAATTATCATCATGAGACGTCTCGCCTTGTGTTCTAAATACTGTTTTGTTAGTGCAGTACTATTTAATATTATTTTATAGATAAAAATTCACAAAACTGGCCTTTAGAGATCTAGAAGTGAATTTAATATAAGGGTACACTTATGGGAAAAAAGAGAAATAGATGAACTAATGTGTTCTAGTCATAAACAGATGACATGATAATTTTTTCATAATCAGAGAAACAGTGTCCTTTGGTAATGCAGTGATGAGTCATGTTTGCATGTGAGTATTAAGCCAATCTGTCATATTTATAGCAAGAGAGAAATGTTCACAGTTTAGTCATCCCAGTTCACGCGGCCATTCTCGTATACTTCATTCCAAACCACCGTCATTTATTTACACACACAGACCAACACATACACATACTGTATCTATAAAAAGGCAAAGATATGTAACAGGAAGCGACACTTGCAAGTCCACATGTACACACGCACGCACACACAGGATAAAAGATGTGTCTAACACAGTCCACCCCACATGTCTAAAACCTCTGTGGGATTGTTTGTCTCATTGCGAGTGGGCTGTTTCTTGTACTTGGGGCAGTTCATATTTTCTAAGGCAAAGAGTGCAATGCATTAATTTACTCATCAGAAGATCATTAAAGCATGTCAATATGTAATAATTTTACATGTAGGGGAGAGCAAGTCACAACATGACACATGACACAACATGACACAACATGACACATAGTAACTTTACAGGAGAAGGCAAAAACATTCTTAACTTTCATTGCAAGTCAAGGTAAAAGAGGCTTTATTCCAAGTAATTTTGTAGCATTTCTATTGGTTCATTCATCATATTTTTTTTTTACACAATGTAAAGAACAGTTACCTTGTTTAAATGATGTAGAAAAATAAAAATCAACAAAAATAAAACAAGTTCTTTGCATACCTGTATGAGTGAACATTGCAGTAACATTAGAACTGATGATGTGCACAGCCTCATAGCAGGTCATTGTAAGCTAGCTGGTCATAAAATCAATGCACTCAGGTACATTTGCATTGAGAAAGTAGGCGAATCTCCCAGCTCTCCTGATCTAGAAAAAAAAAAACTTGAATGCTAATGGATATATACTCTTTCTACTATGTCTCCATATGGACTAAAGAATTTTATAACGGGCTTTTTATGTAAATGGCTCAGTTTGGTGCTCAGTTAGTAATTCATTATTTCATTACTTTTATTTATACTTGGGTGATGAACATCTTTAGCTATATATTTTGAATTTGATGTCATTGTTTTCATATTTTGTATGTTTTCAGTCATGTGAATGCTGATGGGCAGGTAATTCTGTAATGTCACTACCTGGCCCCAGAATAAACTTAACCTTTTTTACATGGATGTTTTGCCTGATGAAGACCATAGTGGTGGAAAAATTGCTATAATAAACGAAGGATCTTAGTGAAAACAGTGTGCGGACATTAATCTTTATTTTTTATGAATCCTCTTTGTGTCCTGGTCCAGACTCTGGAGGGACAGACACACATTTTCTTTGGAATTTGCACAGAGCTCCATTCCCACCCACCCACCAAATTAAAAACAGTTCATTTCTTGTAAGTTTTTATGCACAGATTCATTAGAAATGTACTATAGATGTCATGTTAAAATATATTTTAAAAAATTTTTGTGCCGACATTTGCTCTTCTACTCTGTGGTCAAAAATAAATTTGCCATGTGTGACACTCTGTTTTTCCATATCATGTTTATCTTGATGAAAATATTTTTATGTATTTAGATTGGTAATCTCATCTAGGTCAAATGACAGAATTGTATTGAATTTATTGTGTTTTGCCTTGATTAACCAGACATTTTAGCAACTGTTACAACACACCCGTCCGTCTATTACCTGGTGTCTGGTTACTTTTTGACATATACTATAGTGTTTATAATGCAAAAGTGGTGATTGTCACTGGACATTAAGGCTTCAAGCTGCCAAATAATGTCTGCAGTGTACAGGATATCTGTTCAGTATTTTGGCCTTTCAGACTCTCTCCTGATCTCTTTCTGCTTGATAATCTCAGTACAGCTCCTGATACTTTCTTCACAGCCAGTAAAAACAAACAAAGGCCTCCCAGTGAGATTCTGTTTATTTGCAGTCGTGGCTCTGAATGCTGCATGGCCCTGAAAACTCTTAGAAATTCTTAGATGTTCTTAGAAAGCTGCAGCTGAAATCACCACTGACACAAACAGCTGTGGCAGTGCAAGACCTTGAGGTTTAACACCTCTACGTCTAAAACTTACAATACTGTGCATATTCACTTAGCAGTGAATGTAAATTTGTATGAGAAGTGAGAAGACGTGTAAAACTGTATTCCTTATTGGGTCGAACTAAAACTGTTGATATAATTGCCTCTGTCATGCAGTAAACATCTAAAAAATGTAAATGTGAGAGGTCATGGTCCTGGCATGCTTAATGTGATGCGTGACGTCAGCCTGGGCCTCAGAGGCTGCTCGGCTGGCGCTCCGAATGGTCTTACAGCGAAAAACAAAGAAAACAATGAGAGCGGAGCACTCCAAAGCCCACCCAACAAATTCTCTGATCTTCAAGAGCTCTACACAGACACACACACAGAAAGCTCTGAGCTCTGAAGCTTTTCCATAGTGAATCTGGCCACTGTTGCTTCTTTTCAGTTGGTGCCAATTATAGCCCCTTATCACAACCCTTCCTTGTCTGTTTTCTCTCTTTATAGGTATCCCTCTCACATCTCTGCTTGTTTAATGAGGAACACAGGGCTCTGCTCTTTGGCTAATGTGTGCTACCTCTTCATGAGGCTGATTATTTCTGGCTCAGGGTCTCTACTCTGAACGGACTTTCCCTCAGCTCAGGGCATTTCACTGTCATTCATTCAAGTAGCCCCATCTCAGCTATAGTGTTTTCTAAATGGGTAAACCAAGCTTGTTTTATTAGAGATGATCGTTTAGGGTTCTGAGTTGGATCCCATTGGATGTGGGTGGTAAATGGATGGAGGGCAAATCATCAGCATGGTAAGAAAACCTCATCTCTCTCAGGTGTTTACTTTACAGCAGACAAGGAAAAAAATCTGTTAATGTAACCTAAACTAAAAAGTTTACTTTTCTATTATATATAAATTTCTATTAGTTCATTTTCTGAATATATAAAGGAATAATGAAAAATAGATTAAAAAAATAAAAACAAGGTTTTCTTATGACCATGATAAACTAACTTAGTCTGAACTCTATAACAATTGCGTTGTAAATAACAGCCAGGGCCATTTCTGAACATTTGGTGGGAAGGCCCTAAGCGTTATCCTACTTGGGGGGCCCCCCCTTCATCATCCCCCATCCTAATATTTTTTGAATAAAAACGAATATTTAATTCATTTTGATCAGGAAAGAGAGGTAAAGAAAATAAAACAATTCTTCAATTGATTATTTGGGTGGTGGATCATTCTCACCACAGCAGTGACACTGAGGTGTTTAAAAACTCCAGCAGCACTGCTGTGTCTGACCCACTCATACCAGTGCAACACACACTAACACACCACCACCACTTCAGTGTTACTACAGAGCTGAGAATGATCCACCACACAAATAACACCTGCTCTGTGGTGGTCCTGACCACTGAAGAACAGAGTAAAAGGGGTTCACAAATAATGTATAGAAACGGACAAACTACTTTCTGTAATTGTAGATCCACAAAGTGCACCTGTATGGTAAGTGGACCTGATAAAATGGACAAAGTGGTGTACTTAATGAAGTGGCCAGTAAGTGTATAAATGAAATAAATACCACATCCTCAAGGGGCTCTCTGGTGGTTTAAGACCTGCTTATATGTTTATAGCAAGAAACAGCCCTAATAACTGCAGAGGATGTACAGTGCTGTGAAAAAGTATGTGCCCCTTCCCAATTTCTTTTATTTTTGCATATTTGTCATGCTTAAATGTTTCAGATCATCAAATTCCTTTTAATATTAGACAAAAGATAACCCACATAAACACAAAATGCTGTTTTTAAATGATGTCATTTACTAAAGGAAAAATGCTGGTCAGCCCTACCTGGCTCTATGTGAAAAAGTAATTGTCCCCTTAGCTACTAAATCAACCTGTTAACCAAATTTAGTTGTCTTTTGGGTTCAATTTCACAAGCCACACCCAGGCGTGATTATTGGCTGACCTGTTGAATCTCAACATCACTTAAATAGAACCTGTCTGGCAATGTAAAGCAGGCTAAAAGATCTCAAAAAGCAGCAGATGATGCCTTGTTCTAAAGAGATTCACATATATGTGTGAAACAAAGTCACTGAAATCAGTCTGGAAAGTCATTGCTAAGGATCTGGGACTCCAGCGAACCACAGTGAGAGCCATTATCCACAAACACAGAAAACTTGGAACAGTGGTGAACAGTCCCAGGAGTGCATCAATGATTCATCCAGGAGGTCATAAAAGAACCCAGACAAACATTTGAAAAACTGCAAGCCTCACTTGCCTCAGTGAAGGTACATGATTGCACAATAAGAAAGATGAGAATAAGAAAAATGGCATCCATTGAAGAGTTGTAAAGTGAGAACAAATGCTGACCAAAAGGAACACAAAGGCTCATCTCACATTTGCCAAAAAACATCTAATGGACCACCAAGACTTTTGGGATAATATTCTATGGACTAAAGAGTCAGAAGTGGAACTTTTTGGAAGACATTGGTCCCGATACATCTAGCGCATTCCACCATAAGACCACCATACCACCAAACATGGTGGTGGTAGTGTGATGGTCTGGGGCTGCTTTGCTTCTGCAGGACCTGGACGTCATAATCGATGGAACCATGAATTCTGCTCGCAATCAGAAAATCCTGAAGGCTAATGTTTGCCCGTCTGTTCGTTACCAAAAGCGCAGTTGGGTTATGCAGCAGGACAATGCTCTGAAGCACAGAGGCAAGTCCACCTCTGAATGGCTCAAAAAGAAACAAAATTAAGGTTTTGGAGTGACCATTTCAAGATCCTGATTTGAATCCCATTGAGATGCTGTGGCAAGACCTTAAACACGTAGTGATTTGATTGCAGTTGTTACTGCCAAAGGTGGCACAACCAGTTATTAGGCTTAGGGGGCAATTACCTTTTCACATGAGTAATACAAGTTTCGAATAAATCTTTATCTTCAATAAATGATCGTTCAAAAGCTGCATTTTGTGTTTACTCATGTTGTCTTTATCTTATATTAAAATTAGCTGGATGATCTGAAACATTTAAGTGTGATAAATTAGCAAAAACAGAAGAAATCGGGTGAGGGCCAAATTCTTTTTTCACAGCACTGTCCATTAATCACATGGAACATTTTAAGTCAAAATCAAACACTGTGATTTAAAATATTGGTAACAGGAGTAACAGACATTTCACAGATTTATCCAAAGTTGAAGAAAGTCATCCGCAGTGTTTTGGTGTGAAATGCTCTGTTCTGGAGGAACTTACCCATTTAGAATTGTTCACAGTGGTGGTGATAGTAACCAGACATCTGAAGTATTTAATGTCTCTAAAAGCTGCATGTTGTCTGAGACATTGTTTCAGGATAGTTAGACACAATTTTGGGCTAAAAAATCTTCTTTTTGCATTTTTTTCATGGCAGGAAGATACGTGCAGGGCAAAAGCATCCTCAAAGAAAACTTAAATTTTACAATCACCAACATAATATATAAACTCAGAAGACACGTGTAGGTTTGCTAATTGTTTTAAACAGTAAATAAAATGGCTATATTTGTGTTGTAGACATCAAACCCCCTGGTTCCTATCACCATGACTTGTAAAGAAATCTGAGTCAATAAGTTTTTCATCAATGTATCAATTCATATCGAACATCTGTGGATGACTGGATACATCTCAGCCATTGAATTGCACAGAAGATCTGAAAAAACAGCTGAATTTAAATTCCGGCCTGACAATATCAGTATCACTACACATGCTTTCATACATCTATTCATGTTGCCCAGCAGATCTGCATGCATATTCGACTAGTGAGCTACAACTCTTAACATTTGTCACATATTCTGAACTTCCTGATAGCATATCTTTCTTCCTTCTCATGTCTTAAAATAAGCTCCATCATCATCACCATCATAAATCATCTGGCAATCTGACTCAGGCGGGTTAAAGGTTATGATATCATTCTGTTGTTCCTCTGCACATTGGTATAAAACCTTTTTTGGAAGTTACACCAATACAGAAGATTTATTAGCTCAATGTGCAAATGCCTAAATCCGTAGGCTAAATGCTTCAAGCAGCCAATGGTGTTCAAATCAAAGCTGTACAGCAAGGATGCCCTCTAGTGGAAATCATGATTGTGAAACAGTGGTAGAGTATAAATGTGGATGATCCAAAACATGTTGTTAGTGTGGCAAATAGAAAAGTGAGCCACAATAAAAAAAAAAGAGAAAGACAGAGTCTGGTAGCAGGATATTCATATTTTAATAAACAAACTGTAATTGCCACAGTGCTGGGTAATATATATATATATATATATATATATGTATATGTATATAGATAGCAATGACATGTCAATACTTTTAATAACAATAATAATCACAATTTTATTTGTCAGAAGGTCACACAGAGCAGCACAGATCCTGCAAGACCTCACAGTGTTGCATGTGTAATAGCGACGATGAGATCCAAAGAGAAAGGCACACACAAGTTGGCTATGTAACCTAGCAAAAACAAAGCTTGACATTTCAAACAGAAACTAGCATGGCACATTCAAAAGCGGTAAAGTCAAATCAGACCGGCTTATATCAGGGCATGTCAAACAATAATACATAAATCAAACGACAACTTATTCGGATTTGTCTAACTTTTTGATTGTCCTTCAAAGTATACCTTCATTTTACTTATACTGTACACGAATGATTGCACAATGCCCTCCAGATATCCTGGACCTCTTCTTCACAACACTGCTCAGTCATCTCTTAAAAAATAGATTTTCACATATTGCACTAGTTACAGAACATCTACAGCATGCTCACTCACAATATACAATGGCCGACCCCATGCTCTCCCAACACTATTATACGGGTCTCTTCTTTGGGCCCATCACAGAAGAGAGCTTATATGTTCAGCGAATCTCATAAAACAACTTGAGGGAACCACAAAGAACAGAACAAGAATGTAAAACTGTCAGTATAGAGCTGAGATGGTGTAGCTGATAACAATTGAACCACAACGCATAACACTACAGACCTACGGATACATCATCCACTCATGTCTTCTACTAACATATACGCATTTATACTGGAAGATGTCACTTTATTGTAGTGGCACTTTTATCTTGCCAGCTAATTTGGGGGTTGGCTTTTAATTCATTTGCTTAAGTTTTGTGTCAGTGTTAACAATATACCTCATAATGGATCAAATAATCTGTCTCCTTTCAACAACATGAATTAGGGCTGCACAATATATAGTTTAATATTATTATATTGGCCTTTGCAATACTAATGGCACAGAAAACTGCAACCTGCATATGAGCCTTTAATCAAACACAGTATGCTGTTAGCATCTTGACTACAGTTCAAGATTATTTTTTCTGTGGGTGTTTTGTATTCATATGGCAGCATAATCTGGATTTCTTTTCAAATTCAAATGCAAATTTGAGAATTCTAATTAAGTGGTGTTTTTACTGGCCACAGCTTGACGATAAGTTTTTTTTGTTTGTTTGTTCATTTATACAAATACACACTTTGCACTTGAATTTGAAAAAAATCCAGAACATGTTGCCATATATTCATGTAACCCAACAAGTTAATTATTGGTGAATATAATGCAGGCCAATCTTTAACTAGATCACATTACTGATGTGTGACTGTTTAAAGACCCACTGCACTCAAAAAATGTCTTGGATGGTTTATAATGGTAATATAGACTGATCTATATTTTTGTATCAAACGTGTTACCATAGCACAGAGTTCACATGTTTCACCTTTGTGTCAAAACACAGTCTTTCTCAGAACATCCAAAAAAAAGTCATTTGTGTTTCACAAAGGAGCTTGAACGTATGATGGTCCAATATACTAAAATATGCGAAAATATGCGTTATATTAGAGAATCTCTGTCCCCATCCTCATCTTGCTTCCCTTGGTTTACTGTCACATTTTTGCAGTGTTATTGGATGCATCATACATATCAGAGCTGTCAACAACTCTGGGAGGAACCTCAAAAGGCATAGTTAGATACGCATGTACCTGACTTTTTGGGAATATATTTGTAAATAAATGCAACAAAGCTAGCACACAGTTGAATTAAAATCAATGATGCATTTTACAGTTAACTGTAATGGCTTGTATAATGAAAACGTGCTAACTTACTAACTCTGCTCAAGGGTCCTTGGGAAGTGAAGTCAGGACAGGGCTGTGTTTTTGTGTGTGTGTGTGTGGGGCTTAAGCTACTTTTAATTAACATCCTAGTCAGCATCAGCAGCTAACATTAGCTTAGCAAGAAAGCTAATCTTCCAGAAATTTCAGCTCACTGATGCTGCACAGAGGCAAATTTAGAGCAGAGGTCTCCAAATCTGGACCTTCACTGGTACGTGTGACACTAGGTGGCCAATCAGTTACATCAAGAGTTTTGTTAACTCCCAGTGATAACAAAATCCTTGAATGGAAACTAAATTCAAGGTCCAGATTCAAAGATCTTTGGTTTAGAGGATTAAAATGAGGTATAGGTGCCAGAGCGACAGAATCTTTCTGATTATTAATATTACAGTGGGTGCTTTGATTCTGCTCTGCCACATCTGTTCAAACCAGAGTATATGAGTGGAGTGGAGCGGCAGACATTTCTGCTCCTCTCTCAAAGCATTCTGTAATCACTGAGCTCCGACTCCAGTTTTCTATTTGCTTGCTTTCCACTCACACAGAGAAAACCAGCTCCATGTCCACTCCTTATAATTCATTGTTATGATATTTATTTTATGTCTTGAACATATAACTTATATAGTTTATTGAACTGTATTAATTATATAGTACAATTATATAATTTTCAGTAAGTATATGTTTGAAAAAATGGCAAAATCACAAACCAGAAAACTGGTGAGGGTAAACAAATACACATGCTCTTAACATAATCTGATTTACTATTTACGCAGAAAAATGGACGACACAAGACTTACAACTTGGCATGATTTCTGTAGAACTTTGTTGCGTTCAGTGAGAATTTCCAGTATCCACCTAAATCCTGTGGCCTCTGATGTTTTGAGTGTCTTATGGATAGAAATTTCGGCAAAGTATAAACAGACAATACATTACATGCTTAAGCATCCTAACATAATATATAAATAATAATAAATAAAAATATAATTTTATATATATAATATATACATCTTAATTGTTGGGTGCTTGTGTGCTGATACTTGTAACCGAACTGTTAACAACAGAAACCTGAGCCTGCATGAGAGAAACGCTTTAGTCAGAGGATTCTCCAACCATTCACATACTCTGATTCAAACACAGAGACAGTGTGCAGGGTAGTGTGTGTGTTTGTGTGTGGGGGTGGGGGGGGGGGTGTAGAAAGGGAGCAGCAAGGGGGTGTTTACAATTTGTATAATCATTTATGTTCCTAGATCTTGGCATTCTTAATGAGTGTTGAGGTTTAGGAGCACTCCTATTCCATTTTTAGTAGTTTACTGACCATAACAATAAGACATTAAAATACAAGACCATTTATTATTCAGGATATATGATTTTGTTGTGTTTTAATTTATGACATTTGGGGGACTAATATATTGTTATATAGGTGTATCGCAATATGTAGCAATACGATAAAAACACTAATATGTTATCCATATCATGCAGCCCTAATCTTAATCCAGTAAGCAGGACTTTAACCAGTGTTAATATTTTGTTTTTCAGTACTGAGCTACAGTCAAAGAGCACTACCACTCTTCATTTTCAGTCTGAAGTTGCACAATCATGTATGTTTGCTTTGCAGCACATTGTGAAAGGCCACATTCCATAAACATGTCTGCTACATCACAATCAACTAACTAGGTATGATCAGTATTCCTCATCAGATATGAACTTGACTGAATCAAGTTTGTATGCATGCTCCTTCTCAGTTAGTACTGAAGTACTGAAATGTACTAAAGACTAATCCTGCAATTTTAAATGCGGTCATAGCAATGCTCAACATAATCCCAGTCTAAATGGTCAATTATAAAGTCACTTTAGTGCAGCCCTAGTTTAGATTACACGAATGGTTGATGGTGAGAAAACTGTTCTAGGGCTGCACCTCCATTTAAACTGTAAGCCACAAACAGCACAAAGTTTAGAATTGAATGACCATTTAATAAAACTGAATATGTAAAGAGAATTGGTAACCTGCAAAATGATAAGTTTTTTGAGTAATAATTAAGAAATAAGATGCAAATTATTTGATACTTTGGAAAATGCTAAAATCAACATCCATTTTAGGTTTGTAAAGCTCAAACCAAACTGCTGTAACAGATACAGGCTACTATATCATCTTTAAAACTGCTACATAGATTTGCCAAAATGGAGCTTAAGACAATACGTGCTATTGCTCTAGTTACACCCACTGATGATTTTAGCTTTGATGCCCACTCACCTCAAAATGCCATGTAAAATGAATAATCATCAGGCTATGGGAGATGAATCCCAGTCAAGCATCAGTGAAAATACAAGCCAAATACCTACTTCTTCTAATATGAAAAGAAAGTTGAGCTAATATTGCCAATCAAAGATTTTTTTACCCTTTAACTGGAATTTTGTATAAGGCTGGCTACTGTTAGGAGGCATTTCACAGAATGTTGACTACATTGAGATGCTTGTAGACATCCCCAGGCAATAGCACCACTAAAATATAGGTTATGTGCATTAATGCGTTCAGATATTATCTTAGACATTCATACTGTGCAACAGCACCTTCAAAAAGACACCAAAGTAAATACTGGAGACAAATAAATACAATATTTGATTTTTTTTCTAAGCAAAACAGTGTTTTCTGCTAACACATAATCAAACACAAACCGCAAGCTGAAAGTACTACAGATTTTGACCTATTTTGACAGAGCTGGTTGTGTTTCTGATATTTTACAGTACATTCATACTGCTAAGATGCAAGTATTGGTTAGATATGAAGTATTCAGTTCTTGGACGATTTGAATCAGTTTATGTTTCTGTAGAATGTAAACTGCTAACTGAAGTAGCTATGTGTAACAGATTTAAAGGGCAGTTTCATCATGTGTCCATAATGTCGTTGATGTGCTCTCGCAGCACTAGAGATGGAGTCTTATAACATTCCACAGAGTGAATTTACTGACTATCAAAACACTAACATGCCATAGTTGAACACCACTAGAGCCTACAGGGTCCAGACTTAAACGCTATTTTAAGCCAATAAAGGTAACAAAGATACCAAGACTATCTCAGTAGTATCTACCTGCATCCACACAGACCAATGATGTGAAGCCCCAGGCAGGGTGGAAGAAGCACTTTCAAATTGGGCGTATTTACATTGCTGCTAAATCTTATTCAAAATAAAAGGTTTTAAGGTCAGGGTTATGGGTAAGGATAGCATCCATAATCACATCAGCTAGTATTGCTCCTTTCAAAATAAAAGGGGTTAAAGTTAGGGTTAGCTACATCCTCAACCGTGTTAGCTAGTTAGCAAGCTAACACACACTAAACGAGTGACTTTAAACATCATTATGTACAAACAGCTTGTCGAACAGTTTATTGTCACTAACAAGCTTTAGCAAAATAATGTTAGCTTTCTCACTTTACTTTAGCTAGCTAGCTAACTGGCTAACCTCCGCCCAAGCTGGGGCTTCTTCCACTCAAGCCCAGCCTGGGGCTTGCTCCGCAGGCCTGCCTTCCCACGTTATCCTGAAAAAGATATCTCATTGTCAACTTGTACTTCAGGAATGTATTTTTTTTCTTCATAATGTTCTTGTTTGTATATTAGCTTAAAATACAATCTCAATGCGCTACATTTTAAACATACATAGTACATTCAGTGCAAAGCTTGGTTGGCTCCCTAAACCTCATAACCGTCTGACCTGCTGCGCTGGAGCCAGCCCTGATGACCCAGTCTCTCCCCAGATGCTCTAGATGCTCCCCACCCAGAATGACACTCGTGTGCCTGCTCTTCATCATGGACCAGCTGCTCTCCTGTAGACCTGGCAGTACACACCAGAGCAAGTAAACTTTGTGTTTGTTTAAGAATAAGACGGGGATGAATCAATCAAATGCTTTGGAACATCTGTTGCAGATGACACATACATGCTTACATTTAAACAAATATACACACAATACGTCGACACACACATAAAAAAAATGACCTAACTTGATTATAACCCACTCAATACTATATATTCAAAATAGGCCTTGAATGCAAATGTTGCTAAGAGATCATGACTTATAAACTACAGTGATACGATCCTCTACTAGCCCTGTGTGATCCCAATAAATAAGTAATAATGTCTGCTGCAAGGCATTTAAGGCAAATCAGGCCATGATTTACAGTGAACCCCTTTCAGTCTATCATGTGCATACTGGACAAAACCAAAAAGTCCATATTTCAAGGTCAATATGAATATGTAAAGAAAATCCGCTCAATACCTGCTTTTGGTTATTCTTTGGGGACCAACATCAGCTGAAGGAGGGCTCTAGATGGATAACAGAGCAAAAGAAAAGAAGAACTCAAGTTTTTCTTTATAGCCAATACTGTTACTGTAAGCATGCTCTGTATACTGTATTCCACTGTGACAGTGAAAGCTGTGACATACAGGGTGAGCCGTGCAGTAGTGCTGGTGTGGAGTGCTCTGGTAGTACTCCAGCAGTCTTTCAGCCAGAGCGATGCGTCGCAGGAGGCTCTCGATGAACCGTCGCAAACGCACTTTCCCACACATTTCATGCTGTGCTGCTGCTTCCAGAAATTTCTGGATAGTGATCACTTCCCTAAAACCAGTTACAAACAACTGCTCATTTACTTCAAAAATATTACATTACAGAAATATTACAATTATATAATTCCTTACAATTAATCAGCTGAGAGTTCTCATCAACTCAAAATGCTAAAAGATGTTTTAGCCTAAATCCAGTATGGCCAACTCCTTGTCACTTTGTGTGAATAATTGTGTGAAACATGTTTAAAGTATGGTCACTTTATGTACTTTATTGTTGTCAAAAAAAAAAAGAATAGAAAAAAGAACAACAAAAAAGAATGAATAAAATCTGAGACATCCTCTAACAAGCCTATCTGAATTGACTTGAAAAGACTCATATCTGCAAATACTGAAAATTACTTGGCAGACTTTTCCACAATTTTCAGGCTCTGTATGCATTTGCAAATTTATATTAATACATTCTGGCATTATTACATTTTCCTGTGTCCTTGTGTTTATAAAGCTTTACGTACACAATAAAAACGATGGTTCTTTGCTTAGTAAAATGGTTCTTTAGATTGACAGAGAACGTGTTGTACGATTCTATGTAGAACTTTTTTGAAAATGGTTCTATATACCACTAAAAAGCTTTCTTCCATTGTTACGATATCAAGCTTGTAACAGTACAATAACTTTTTTTGGTGCTATACAGAACTATTTTCAAAAAGGTTCTTTATACAACCATATATAACACATTCTCCATCAATCTGAAGAAATATTTTGCCATGCCTTTAATAAGGGACCCTTGAAGAACCATCTTTTTAAGTGTGTATATTTGTTGTGTTAAGTATTGTATGTCTGTGAAGTCTGTGCCGTCATTAGAACTGTGCTGCATCTGTCTTATTCCTGCTCTGGATTATTCATTAGGCCGTACTTACTGTTTTCTGCGCTCCAGCTCATGTTCAGACATGCTGAGCTGCTGCTTCAGTGTGGCGATGACCATGACGGCGGCGTCCACCTGCCTGCTAAGTGCCCGCTCGCGCTCTAGCACTTCCTGCCGCTCCTGGGCCAGGTGGTGCGAGTGAGCTCGCTCACACAGCAGTGCCGTGTCCGTCTGTGCCAGCTCGGAACTGAGCCGCAACAGCCGCCGTTCCATGCTACTATTGGCCGTCCTCATCATGCCTTCCAGTCTCTGCCCCACCGAGGCCACCGGTGCAGAGAGGAGCTCAGTGCCAACAGGCGTCTCCCCACAAGCCGCACTCTTTTCTGGAGACAGAGGTCCCTCTTGACACTGTTCAGGTGGAGGGGGTTCAGAGCTGAATGGGAGTTTGTGCTCCCCCCTCCCAAGAGAGTGAGTGTCGGTGCCTGCATCTTTTGTTGTCTGGGTCTCGGCGATGGCCCTCTTGCCATCCTCCGCACAGTCAGGGTATGAGTGGCCCCTGCTGTTTGGTAGGCTGAGGTCATGCCTGGGGTGTGTATGGTATGTGTGGCTGTACTCCAGGTGGGCCCTCAGCGCAGCAAGACTGTGGAACCGCTCATGCTCTCCGCACCGAGGGCAACGAAATGGGAGCTGAGACGGTGCCCCCGCACCACAGGCCTGGCCATTCTCCACAAACAGGGTCGTGTTTCGGGTGCACAACTTCTGCTGCATGTCAGAAATAACCTGATAACATAACATCACAACTGCTTAGTATCAAGTATTAAGAATTTGGTTACATCTTGCAAAACCTTTCCCATTAATCAAATCTTGCAAAATTTCAGCAGAATTCAATCTCTGAGATGTGAACAAAGTCATTAAGACTATCTTGATGTGAAATGATGCATTAAAGCAGTTTGGGTTTCTATACAGTGGTGGTCCTGATGTCTACAATACAAATATAGCCACTTCATTTGCTCTCCAAAATGTGACCAGTGAACCTATTTACTATTATTATAATTGTGGTAAATCAGTTGCCTTACAACTTGGATAACATGGATAAAAAACAGCTTCATTTAAAACCTTTTCTCAAAACTGTCATAAAACATTGTCTGAGACATCAGGCAGTATACTCATAATAATTATGTAATAACTTTCTGTGAGGTAGCTTTTAGAGGTATTACAACTGGTTCAGCCCCAATGTGAACCGTTAACTGACAGCGCCGCATTTCAAACTCTGACTGACTTTCTTAAATCTTAATCTTAAAGACTGAATTATTCAAAAAATCAGCAGAGTTCCCCTTTAAATGTTAGCAAAGTCTTGTCACTAGTTTCCCTAGAGTGAAGCATTTCAAACTCTGGCTGACTTTCTTTACATCTCAGCGACTGAATTATTCAGAAATTTTGAAAAATTCGTTGAATACCCCTTTAAATGTTGCCATTGTCATCAGCACAGCTGGCCAAATGCTCCCTTAGGCTTTGATTATAAATGCATTAAGGTAATAGCAAATGCTCTCTGAGGGACTGGTTTCCATGAAATCCCCCAAACTGTAATTGTTAAGCCTAATTCACAAGCAGGAAAATCCTATTGCATTAGCTATAGCCTGAATAGCTGGATTTAGGTGGAACAGCAACCACAGCCTGCCAGCCAGCTCTAACAGGTTCTGACTACAATTTACACGCTGCTCTTTATAACACTGAGCCTGATTCATTTTAGAAACATGATTCATTTTAGAAATGTTTAAGGTTACAGTTTTGACACATCAAAATTTTAAACCAGATTACAAACCAACACGACCACAGTATTTCGCATGACGTAGATTACACAACTCAGATTCAATTAACACAGCTTTGTGCTGTTTGAGCACTAGCTTCTGATCTCCAATAGCCAGTCCATCAGTATGCAGATATGAATGTCATTATCAGTCGAAACTAAGGTTAGCTCGGCTGGCTTAGAGAAAAGGAGAAAAGCTCGTTGTGGAATAAGCCTTCTTCTTCTGGAGGCGTTCACTTGTTACTGCTAGATGTTAGACCGAATCGTGCAGCCAGACTAATGGAGACATTTCTCTAATGCCAGTCGTAAGTTACCTCCGTAAAAGCAGGTTCTGCGCTGATAACGTAGAGGGCTCGGCTCGAAGTAATCGGCTACGCCTTTGATCGGGCACCTCTCTTCAAATGATGATCATTCGGACCTCTTCGACAGGTAGCTGGCTGCTGGCTGCGCTTCTCGGTTTTTGCTCAGCGCACGTCTTGTCACCTGACGGTGCGATAGCTAACAACTCGATATGTGATGAACACATCTAACCTGCTGTAGGAACAGCCACATAAATGTCACAGACATCTTTGCTGAGATACCGAACGGCGCCCTCCATTAAAAAAATGACCTCGGATATAGATACGACAGCAACCCGCTGTCACTAGCCGCAGTCATAAGTGTCAGTGCCCCAGTTAACTATAGTGATTTGATAAGAATTACTGAAAATTCATTAGGATGCAGAGTGCGACAGACAATCGGGTCGATCCATTCGAGCACAGACGGGACAGTTCAAACAAAAAACGTCTTAAATACAAACATTTTATACAGCAAAGACCACAAAACAACAATGCGAACTATTTAAACCTTTTACTAAATGAAAACACTTATAATTCGTGAATGTGATTATATTTACTCAGTAGCTTTAGTGAGATACATCTCCACTCGTCCATTTCAAAATTTGAAAGTGGTACGATCCGGTGATTGTTTAGGCAACGGTGAGGTTTGAAGGCAGACTATTGGCTGAAGCCCGGCCGCGGAGCGCGTCGGTTTGTTGGCCTAGAGGGGCCTGTCTCTCCGGGAAGGAGCCAATATGGAGCTGCCGCGGGACGGACGAATTTTTAGGCGAAATGTTGGGGCGAGGTCCACTGTGTCGTCGTGTTCGTCTTTCGCCATGGAGGTTAAGAGGAAGAAAATAAGAGAAAGCACATTGTTTTTACAAAACGAGGTATGTTTGTGCTGCTCGAGTCAGAGTTATTCACAATGTTGTGGTAGTGATTTAGCCTCAGGTTAACGTTACGTTACATAGTTCACGGACTGATAAGTATCCAGAAGCATCTCTTAGTTCTTCTGTTGGTAAACAAGCCAATCTAGGCAATGTTAATAACCTTAATAATATGAGTAGCTACGTAAATTTAACCGAAGAATGTGACTAACTAAACTAAACCAAACCAAAAAGTTAATGTATACCGTATGATTTTCGAAGCCAAAAATCACTGTAAGACAACAAAAGGTTTATAGGTTGTGCTTAATCAGATTTAAAAACTAGTCAAAAATTGTGTTCTCACCTTAAAACTAGCTAACTACCTGATGTGTGTTCCACCCTAGCTCCAGATTTGTCTCTGAATGTCAGTCTCACTTCTGGGACTAGTTCTACGCTTGCTTGACCACCTAACACTTCATTCAATGTCCTTTTCAGGCGAGAGCAAGAGGCATGAAACGATGCACAAGCCTGAATGACACTGAGCAGATAATAGAGGACATGAATTTGTTGTACATACGACAAATTTCTAAGAAACTACAGGTAGCCAAAGACCAAACTGTATGTCTAAAGGGGTGTGTGGTGTTGTCTCTCTATCCTTTTTTAATGATCTAGTTTTTGAATTTGTGTTGTTATTAAAATGCACGTTTTGGCCTCTTGCACTATTTAAAAGTAAGTTCATTCTGAAACATCACTACACAGCTCTTAAGACTGGTTTGCTAGCTAGAGAGTTTCATTGTTTAGGTCGTCCTGTGTCTTTCTTCACCAGAGTTTCTTCCTACTCCACCTACTTGCATAAAAGCCCCTTTTCATTCTTGTCTCGGTGCATTATTTCAGCCTGCCATATGGCCACTGCCCATGAAATGGGAAAATCAGTGAAGGCTGCTGGAAATTACTCTCCAACTGTCTCATTGTTATAATAGTTCTTGTTCCATTCCCATGCATCCAGCAGTGATTCAGAAGACTCTGTACCCTCTTCACATTTTGTAACATCTTGTCTCCCCAAGAATTACATTGCAGTGATCTTCCCTCATTCCACCGTCTGCGTCCTGTGTCTGTAGTATGCACATTTTGTCTCCCATGAGGTTTGAAGGACACTGTAGAATGTCTGCCGATCTCTAATACTAGATTTTCCTCAGGACTGTGATATTCAAGAGAAGATGGACTTTGAGATGCGAATGAGAGCGGGTGCATACAAGCTTCTGGTTGCCAGCACCAAGAGAGAACAAATCCTTGATGCAGCCAAAAGCCTGATAACCTGCAATGCAAGAATCAAAGCCTACATGGCTGAGGCACAGCAGAGGAAGGAACAGCAGGACATGACTGAGAATTTTAGGAGGAGGTCTGACATGCTTTTTTGCTAAAAACAGCTGTGGACACATTTCACATTAAATGTAATAGTTTTGTGTATGAGGACTAACGGGCTAATTCTTAAAATGGCTTTGCTTTACAGATCTTTAGACTCCCAGAATCGAGTGGCTTGTAAGGGCAAAGTAGCTATATCTGGTAAGAAATAAGTTATTTATATAAGCATAGATATGTATAGAAATACTTACATAGATATAGGATGTTTTGTTTTTACTCAGTTTTTGATATAAAATGTAAGATCATGGTCCATTTTCCTCTGTTGTTCTTGTTTGTTTCTCTTAGGTCTGCGAATCCCTCTGTTTTGGAAGGATTCTGAACATTTCAGCAACAAAGGGAGTGGGTCTTTTTTCTGTTTATTCCCTTCTCCTGAGTACATATTGATTATAAGTACATACTCTGCCATTTTAGACAGAGATATTTCAGTGCTGCTTTTTTTTTTTGGCTATTCAGTAATGTTGGCATGAGAGAACCACTCTAATTTTGATTTTGCACTATAGTGTGTTTATGCGTTCATAGACAACAAGATGTAGCAGTTTGCTGTGCATTTTTTTAACTTGTTAACAAACGGGAGAGAACACTTTAAAAAACATTTTTTAAAAAGTCTTGATAATTTATCTATTAAAATGTAAACAAATCCATGCAGAGTGATTTCATGTGAAATGGTTCGTTGTAGATAAACTTACTGACTCTTACCGACTGTAATGGTAGTGATAGGAACCATGGGTCACAGTGTCTGCAATGCAAATATTTTATTAATTATTCAAAATGACAAGTGAAATGTACACATTTTTTTTAGCAGAGTTTTTAAATGTAATGTTGATGATAAAATAAGTGATTACACATGAAAAAACTATTTTGCCTTACAAAGCCCTCCATGTACATCTCTGCGATTAATGGATTTTAAAAAATGCATTTTAGATTAAAACAGACATTAAAGTCTTTAGATGTCTTGTTTCTATCACCAAAACTGTGAACAAATATGATGGTACATTTCATGTCACACCATGACTTTGTTTACATTTTAATCCATTTAGCAGTGGAAATTTAGAAAAATAAGTGGGATTGCCCTTTACGAAAGGGGCTACACAGCTGCTTTTGTCTCTGCTGTAATGCCTTAATTGATTTTAGACGGTCTTTCGTTTTTGTTGGGGACACATCGACACACTTTAGCCTTCATACGCTAAGTGCTCATATGGCCCTGACTAACTCTGAAGGTGGTTTGAGGGATCTGACCTCTGTGTTTTAGAGATGCATTGGACCCTTGTTCATGCCTGTAGTTTATGTGCATTATTTGCCAAAATGAGTGGTCATTCTCCTTATATTCAATATATACATTAACAAACTTTTAAAATTGAGCTTATATTTAGATAAAAAATGTTTCAGGCAGGAAATATAATGTTTTTTGTTTTTTTTTAATTGATGTTAAGAAATCAAGCTTTGTTTTCATACATAATGCATAACCACCTAAATCCATCAAACAGATTCTCAACGGGTGGCAGTTTTCTGTCTAATGAAGATTGGCTCTGAAATATTTGACACAGAGATGGTGATAGTTGACCGATCAGTGACTGATATCTGCTTTGAGGGTGTAACTGTCTTGTAAGTATTCAGTCCAGCACTATTTGTGATAAAATTTTAATTGCAGTGAAATAGACTAGAGCGAAAGCTTGTCCCTGTTTCATTACTTGTGTTGTCACAGTTCGGAGGCTAAGCCAGACTTTGAGCTGGCAGTTGAACTCTACAGCTGTGCAGTAGAAGAGGAGGCAACTCTGGTCAACACACCAAAGAAACTGGCCAGAAAATTTCGTTCCTCTTTTGGTAAAGCATCTGGAAAGAAACTTGGCTCCACTCTAGATGGAGGTGATCCTGATGCTTTTCTTCAGTCCAACCCAATGCCACCGTAAGGACCACACTAGTTTCAGTATCTCTGCATATCTGTGTATGACTGGAATTAGTGTTTTATGATTGTAGTTTTTCCATCTTCTTCTGTTTCAGTGGGGTACAATATTCTCTGTTGGCATACACAACCCTGGGTTTGGAACAGGCAGAAGGCTCATTCCAGTCTCACTCACTCATAGTCTTACAGAACGGTAAGTGACAAAACCATTTGTGCTGAACCTGCAAGTTATGGTTTAAGAGCTGTGTGTCATTTAAGCTTTGATATTTGGTTACAGACTTGCATTCTGATTTTTGTGTTTTCATTTGTTCCATTAATATTAGGGATGCACCAATGTGGAAATTGTATGCCAATGCTGATATTTATTTGTAGAGGTGGTGCAAAAACCCAGCATCTCCTAAACATTTCTGCTCTTACAAAGTACATAATACGTCATCAAATATTGTTTAACATACGGAGCATATTCAAACATCTGTCTGTTGTAAATAACATTTGTTTATTTTGTTTTTAAGCAGTTATTGGCCAATATTGATATAATTTTGATATCATTGTTCATCCCTAAATAATATTCTATAATCTCATCATGTTAGGGTCTACTTTTTAATCATTGCTGTATGGGGAAAGTGACTGTGGAAATGAAAGTGGCTTGTTTTGAATGGCTCCTGTTTCTGCTTGCTCAGTGGTGGCATCATCATGGCTGCCTCTCTATGGGAATCTGTGCTGTCAGCTGGTGGCACAGCCTCACTGCATGACACAGGATATGATGAGCGGCTATCTTAGCCAACAGGTAAAGGGCACAAACCTTTTAAACATCTTTTGTGTGTGGTATCACTACTCCTTCTGAACAACATACACTCTGAAAACAATGTAAGCTCTTGATATGCAGTATCAGACGTGTTTGTCTATGTTTAGCAAAGTATTGAGGGTTTGCAGCGCTGCTGCAGGCTGTACTGTGTGCTGAAGGCTGGCCTCCTCTCCTGCTATTTCACTCCTGAGGAGATCCAAGCCAAAGTGGAGCCCAGCTTTGTTATTCCTATAAACAAGGTAGGACAAGAAGCTAAAACAGTAGCAGCTATTGTATTTACAGCATACAGTAATTATGAATGTCTCATAATTGCAGTGCTTGGAATCAGCAGCTTGGATAGAATCAAACTTTTTTGGTTGTTTTTGTTGTGGTGGTTTTTTTGTTCTGTTTTTTTTTGTTCAAAAAATAGTAATGCACAACATATAATAATGGTCTTTTTGTCATTAAGAATCATAAATCAGCTGACACTGCCTACGATGGAAATTTTGAATGAGTTTTCTTACTGTTTCTTATTTACTTTATGCATGTATTTATGCATAGGACACCCGCATTCGTGTGGTGGAAGGGCATCAGAAGAGTGGAGCTAGACTGAGTCTGATTAATCCAGGGATGGGAGACCCCGCTAGCCATGTATTCACAGCTGAAACACCAGAACAATTGCAGGACTGGCTGAATGCCCTTTGGCAACACATTCATGACAAGAGTAAGTGAGAGATTCTTCTTGTGTTTGTATGCAATAGAGATAGAGATTAGCATGCTTTTTGTGTTTTTAAGGTTGGGTAAAGGATAAGGAATTGTTACCTATGCAATAGGTCAGTGGCAGCACACCTGTGACAGGCTGATGGAGATTCAGATTTTGTCCCCACGGAAGCCCCCACTTTTCCTCACCAAACAAGCTGACTCTGTTTACAATGACCTGAGTAAGGAATAGATTTCACACATTTTGATGGCTAAAGCATATTAAATGTACAGTTGTGGACTTATTGAAACTGGTTTTACTTTTGCTTTGCAGGCATTGGTTCACCAGGGAAATTTGAGAGTTTGACTGATATAATTCACAATAAGATCGAGGAAACTGATGGGCGCTTTCTTATTGGTCAAGAAGAGGAGAAGGAACCTCCTCATTGGGCAGCCCTGTTTGAGGGCTCCCATTCGATGGTGGTGCAGAAAACAGTTTTGTCACCAGGTAAAGAGAGTGCCCAGTCCACTTCCAGTCCAACTTTGAACAGCAACAAGAAGAGAAGAGCTCCTCCACCTCCCCCGGGTAAATTACCATTTGTCCAACCTGTCCCATGTCTTCTGGAGAAGGAGAACTCTTGTAAGGCGACGAGGCCTCGAACAGGGCGGCCTTCCCTGGATGCTAAATTCTCTGCCATCATTCAGCAGTTACAGAAGACCCATGCCCCACCACGCAAAAATCCACCTTTAGCCCAGATCGAGCCCTCTCAGAACCCTTACACTCCAAAAAAGAGGGATATTGAGCTTGCCCAGGCTGAACACGCAGAAAAAATGAGCACCGAAGCTCTTCAGCCTCCCATCCCTGCCCCCAGAAACAAACTGAGGAAGTCTTTTAGGGAGAAGATGAACCCCAAGGCCTGGTAAACTATTAACAAATGCAAATCAACCATACAGACGACATATCCTTTGTCTTGTCCTCTTTTGGTAGTTAATCCATAACCATAACCTATTTGTACACAACTGTAGACTTCAGTGTTGAATGGCAGAACTGAAGCCTAGCTCATGGCAGCTAATATCATGCATGTCTAACTGACCTTACAAACCTAACAAACTGTGAACACATGCATTTATAAACACTTACAAGTTTAACAAATAATAATGTAAAGAACCACTAAACTATATGCACTTTTGATAAGGAACTTGGCACATGGAGTTGTAAGATGCACGTTAGGTGGATCTTTCATGTTTTTGAAAGCATCTGAAGCCATCTGTAGTTCACACTAATTGAATGAAATGCCATTATTGTATACGTGAAACATGGAAATTTGGGCTCATAAGATGGAATCATGTTATTTTTTTAAGATTATTTTACTGGCAAAAAAAGTAACTGGCCTAGAAGAAAACACTAGCTGCATTTCAAAACATTTCTACATTTATAAGACAATTTTTATTATTTCTTGAGGATGGTTTTAGATTGGGTTTTTGTTAAACAAAATATTACAACATGCACATATCAAATGCATTTTCAGTTGAAATGTCATTAAATTTGACTTATTACTTTCTGTATTTTCTGTAGATGTTTCTTAAATATGTACTAAGCTAATTGTTCAGTGTCTTACTAGACTAGACTATACTGCAGAATATAAGTTGCACTTGCAGCTTGGAGATTCTTAATGGAGTGGAAAAAATACATTTTTTCTTTAGACTGATTAAAGATGAATATTACTTAATGGTTCTAGGTCTGGAATGTTGCATGATCATGAGGGAAGAATGCTTACAGTGGTCAGTGAATTGGCACATCAGCAGTCTTTTTACTGCTCTTGGCCTAAAAGTATGTGAATGATGCAGAATATACCACATAGTAAGTCATGCAGCTGACAGCCTTTCATTTCATAGTGGTAGTTATTGTGCAATACTTTGTTTTTCTCTTAAGCAGAATTATTTTGTAGCAACTCCTTCCATGTACATGTATTTGTTTTTTGCAAGTCATGTAATTTTGTTTCTCTTTGGTCCAGAATAAACAACTGTAACCACCTGCTTTAATAAACTGTTCTTTGTAACATGAAAATATTGATTATTAGCCTTTCATGATTTTTGCTTTCAAACTGTCATTAACACAAGACAGAAATGCACGTACAAAGGTAGATTTTCTAGACACTTTATTAAATTTCCTCATATAGATGATGGGAAAAGGTCTTATGTAGCTATGCCATAGTTCTGGCCTGAAGTGTTCCTCCTGGATGCTTCTTTTTGGACTTGCCTCTCTAAAGCCTGTTCCAGCTGCAACCAGTGTTGCTCCTCCAATGCCTGCTGCTCAATATGGAAAAAAGAACTCAAATATGATATCCAAAAAAAAAAGATTTCCTAGATATGAAAGTCTAGGTCTAGTCTTGGATTAAATTGCAGTGCTAGTGATGACTTTACACTGGAAACTCTTTTTAGCCTAGGCACAGACTTAAACTAGGTATAGACAATTGGCCCTAAGAGTACTTGTAGGCAAGCATGTCTGTCAGTGGTCTGGATGTTAAAGGGCAATTCTATGCATACATAGAATGTGATCATACTGAGAACAGTATAATGAGCATTAAGCCTTCCTCACCTTTTCTTGGATATAGCTCTTGACTTTCTGAGTAGCTATCTGTTTATTTATGTTCGCTTTGGCATTTTCTCTCTCCCTCTTGTTCTGTCTCTCCTGCTGCTTCATCTCCAGGGTCTTCTGCAGGGCCATCACTCTTTCATCCATACTGACTGCCTCCTGTAGCTTCAGTCTTTTTTTCTTCTCCTCCTGCCTGTTTTATACACAGGCAATCATTTACACATGTTGAACTAATTATATCAGTTTTTTCTAATGTTTAATATTCTGATAAAGTTTTTATATGTATGTTGATCCAGTAGCTTAACTACTGGCAGTGCACATAAGACAAAGGACATGGCAACTGGTCCCCATAACATCTTTACAAGACACTTTGTCATTATGTGATGTTATAACCAGTACTCATGGGTAGCCACAATTAATTAAAATATTTAAATTATTTGTCTAATTTAGACAAGCAAACTTATCAGACATAGACTATATGGCCAAAAGTATGTCGACACCTGACCATTACACCGAAATGAGCTTGTTGGATAGCCTCCACTCTTCTGGGAAGGCTTTCCATAAGGTTTTGGAGTGTGTTTGTGGGAATTTGTACATTCAGCCAAAAGAACACTTGTGAGGTCAGATACTGATGTTGGATGAGAACGCATGGCTTGCAGTCGACATCCCAATTCATCAAAGTGTTCACTGGAGTTGAGGTCAGGGCTCTGTGCAGGCCACTGGAGTCTCTCTATACTCGTCAAACCATGTCTTTATGAGCTTCACTTCTTGCACAGGGTGAAGTCATGCTGGAACAGGAATGAGCTTTCCTCAAACTGTTACCACAATGTTGGAAGCATATAGTTGTATAAAATGTCTTTGTATGCTGTAACATTAACATTGCCCTTAACAGGCACTAATGGGCCGAGCCCAAACCCTGAAAAACAGCCCCAGACTATTATCGCTCCTCCACCAAACTTTACTGTTGGCACTATGCATTCCGACAGGCAGCGTTCTCCTGGCACCTGCCAAATCCAGAGTCATCTATCAGACTTCCAGATAGTGATGTGATTCATCACAGTCATGTGATCCCTCCAGTGGTGGCATGCTGTACACCACTCCAGCCAACACTTCGCCTTGCGCATAGTGATCTTAGGCTTGTGTGCAGATGTTTGGTCATGGAAACCCATTTCATGAAGCACAGACGCACAGTTCTTGTGCTGATATTGCTTCCAGAGGCAGCCTGGAATTCTGTAGTGAGTGATGCAACAGAGTATAGATGCTTTTCGCATGCGATATGATTCAGCACTCAGCAGACCCACTCTGTGATTTTACACGGTCCACCACTTCGTGGCTGAGCTGTTGTTGTGCCTAGACCAGGGGTGTCCAATCTTATCTGCAAAGGGCTGTTGTGGCTGCAGGTTTTTCATTCCAACAAAGCAGGAGCTCACATGATCAGCTGTTTGAAGACTGAGACCAACTGATTAAACAAGTAGAATCAAGTGTGCTTCAGCTTGTTTGGAATGAAACCCTGCAGCCACAGCCCTTTGCAGATAAAACTGAACGCATCTGGTTTAGACGCTTCCATTTCACAATGATACCACATACAGCTAATTGGGACAGATCTAGCAGGGCACCAAACTAACAAAGTGACTTGTGGCAAAGGTGACATCCTATGACGGTGCCACATTTAAAGTACGACTCATTCTACTGCCAGTATTTGTCTATGGAGATTGCAAGGCTATGTGCTCGATTTTATACAGCTGTTATCGGGTGGCTGAAACACCTAAGCTTAATAATTAGGTGGGGTGTCCACATACCTTTGACCATATAGTGTTGCTTATAGTGAGTAAACAAGCCAACTACACTGTCACTTCTTTTTATTAATTGAAAGTAATTTTACTTTGGGGGCCCATTCATTTCTTTTTGCAATGGGACTCATGATATCCTAGTTAAACCACTGGCTGGTCCTGAACTTCAAAAAAAAAGCGTAGTTACTTTTGTGCAGTGGCATGTCGTGCTGCAGTCCTGCACATAGAAATGGTATCCAGCTGCTCCAGCAGTAGCTGCTCTCTGCTCTGTTTCTCCTCATGGATCCTGTGCCTCTTCTCCTCCTGCTCCCGCTGCTCCTCCTCCCTCAGCCTGGCCAAGCGCTCCCGTAGCTCTACCAGTGACATCTCGCATAGCAGTTCATGACCTCCTGTCTGAGACATGGCAAACAAAGAAAGACAGTCAGTGGTTGTCAGATCAGATATTTTCTTCCTCACTCTGTCAGCCAGTATAGAGCTCATACAACAGCATTACGGTGTTATGTGTAAGATGGTAAGCACCTGTGTATCATCCAGAAACCTCTGTCTGTTATGAGGCACAGACTCAATAGCTCGAATCTGACAAATGAGCTCGAACTTGCGGCTCAGCTCAGCCTGGGCTTCCTCCAGTGCCTGCCGAAGGAGCTCCCTGCTCTGCTCAGAAACCTCTTTCACTGCAGCACACAAGGAACAAGCTGTGAGACAGCCTCATATCTCTTATGAGAAGGAGAAAAAAAAGTTCTGCAATGTTAGTTTCTACTGGTCTATTCATCAAGAAATGTTCACACAATGTAAAATGCAGCTGACATTTTCAAATTATGTGTTAAATGTTTTCTATGCAGTAGGGTCCAAGTAAAGTTTTCCCAAATTTTCTTATCATTTTCACTTACCAATACGTTGTTTGATTTCTTGCAGTTTGATTTTGGCAGCTTTGGAGTTTTTGTGCCCACTAGCCACCTGCTGCACCAGCTCTCTCATCTCCTCCTCCTCCCTCAGACGTTTCTCTGCATACTTGCGCATCAGCTCTGCAGTCTATACCAATCGCACACAAATACATCACTTTAGGGTTAAGCAGAGGTGGAAAATTTAGGTCCAGAAACTAAAAAACCAGCCCAGGATTTTGTTCCATCTGCCTGGACAGCTCTAGTTAGCCAGGAATAGAGCAATCCAGGCAGTCAGAACAAAATTCCTAAAGAGGATCATACTTTCTGAACTTGATTTTTGGTCTGTCACAAAAAAGCTTTACCCACATCACAATAATTTGCTCACAGAGAATCATTATGCATTAAAAGACCCATAGTAATGAAAAATCTCAAAGAAGATCTTCTTAGTATCTCCAGAGTTTCTTCTAGACCAGGGTTTCGCAATCACTGTGCCATTGACCACAAGTGGGCGGCGAAGCAAAAACATAAAACGTTTTCAAATGTTAATCAGTATTAATACACGTCCTGCAACAATGGTGCACTTAGGCAGCTTTGTTTTTTCGCCCCTTGCAACAAAATTCACTCCGCCTAATGTTTTAGTTGTCCACTCACAAGCGAGTGGTGTAAAAACCTGATGTATTTTCTGTTCATTGATACACGTCACATATCGTGTGAGTAGGCACCCAAACATAACCGTATTGAAAATTTGAAAAAAATAACATTTTAAGCAAAAAAGCAAAAGAGTTTTGATTTACTATGGACCTTCATGCTTTCTAGTGTTAACTAGGTGGGCCTTGAGGTTGAAATGGTTGAGAAACTGTTCTAGACAACGATATCAGATCAGAGATCAGATGGAAAGACAAAAAGGAGACTCCTGCTGCACAGACATTTCTCCTGAGCCAAAGACCTCAGTGATCTCATACATGTCTCCTCTTGAGTTTCAGTAGAGATCTCAGTAAAGCCACACATTGTGCTTAGATTTGCCAAGATAATAACACTCATGTTTATCTATAGCTGAACTAAAGATATATATCAAATCAAAATATAAACCATTTCTCAGCTGAGACTAAGAGGCTTCAAGTTTTAATGCTGGGAATACCTATTATATTTTTATCATGCCCCCTTTGTAATTGATGCTAATTCTCTAAGGAGTTTCTATCAAAGATCAACATTTCATTGAGCATTAACATTTTCCTTTAGGAAGTACACATAATCTTGGTTACAAAACTGCGATACCAACAGATTGACTAGAAGGCATTCACCTCCTCCTTTTTGAGCTGGGCTTTGTGCTGGTTGAGCTCTAGCACACGCTGCCGTGCCAGCAGAGCCTCCTCGTAGCTAATCTTCCCCTCCAGTCTCCTGCGCTCCACCTGGGCCAACTCTTCCTGCAGGTCCTTCTCCCTCATCTCTTTTTGCCACTGCAGGAATGCAGAGGGCTCATTTGCCCCCTGCATCAGACGCTCAAGCCTGGAAACACAAAAGCATTTAACCATATTACTCAAAACGCAAACAATAAAGGGGCCAAACGCCACATTATGTTTTATTCCCGGACGTCCACGTCCTTAGAATTGAACTGCCTGTTTTTGCCTTTAAGATAAGTCAACGATCTCTGCTGTAATTGGCTGTCCCCTACACAAGTGCAGACAGGCACAATAAGTTTAAAAAGCAATCCAAGTTATGGAAATATTGAGTAAAAACTACTCATTTTAAAAATATTCAGGCATTTTACAAAACTGCTAAATTGCTGCAGACTAACTCATTTGATCATAGTGGTGACTTCACCATAATGAAGAAATCAGAGCTGTAAATATTGAGTAAAATAAGTAAAAATAAGTAAAATATTACATTTTCTACAATATAACAATATGTACAATAAACACAAACAACCTCTTAATACACAAATAATGAACTCCTGTGAACTGATTAGTTTAATAGTTGGGTGTGTATTTATTACATCTTCTCATTTCAAGCTAAGATGAGTTGACAGTACCTATTCAGCTCCTCTTCCATCTGCCGATTATACAGTGCTCCCTCCCGCAGGATAGCTGTTGTGTTCAGTCTGACGGGTAAATTGTTCATCTGTATAATTTTGAAACGAATACAAAGACTAACACAATATTAGATACACAGTATGGTGTAGTACAAAACTACACTTCTGTAGAGTTGTAGGGACAAGTTGCCCTTTAACACTATGCCCTTCTTACTGTACCTTTTGGGTGGCTGGGGTCCCGGAGGAGTAAACACTGTCAAATTTGAGTTTGGAATCGAAGTTTTGCTGAATCTGGGACATTGCGTTCTACCAACAGAAAGAACACATCGTCTCTTGTATCAGAAACTTATTATCAATTAATATTTTTTTAACTGCTCTTAAAATCATTGACAGGCACATAATGTATATCCTGTCTGCCCTGTGATGGACTGGCGACCTGTCCAGGGTGTATCCTGCCTTCCGCCCAATGACAGCTGGGATAGGCTCCAGCACCCCACCGCGACCCAGAAGGATAAGCGGTTTAGATGATGGATGGATGGATGGATAATGTATATCCATAACTGCAGCACTCCAGTGACTTTCTTACCTGTGTCTTTTCAGACTTCTGTGAGTTTGCACATCGGAACTGCTGAATATTCGCTTCATACAGGACTTGCTATGAGTGGTAGAAACATAAAGAAAACACACTTATCAATACCTGTACTACAGACAGAGTTGAAGGGCAATTCAAAAGTTTTTTCAAAAGTTCTGCAAAATTAAATTAAGATGTGAAAAAGCCATTCAGAGTGGTTTGATGTGAAATACTCTGTTCTAGATAAACTTAATGAGTCAGAACTGTTCAGAGTAGTAATGATGGGAACCAGATATGCAAAGGGGTTAATGCCTCTAAAAGCCACCCCAAAGAATGCTGTAACATGAAATGGTTAAATAAATGAATAAAAATATAAAATATATTTATGGCCGAAAGGTACATGCAGGGCTTTGTAAAGTAAAACAGCCCCCAGAAAAAACATTGCTTCAGATTCATCATTATTTTACCATGATCAGCATTGCATAGAAAAAATTAGAAGACATGTGCAGGTTCACTGGTGGTCACCTGGTGGAACCTGAATTCTATATTCTATAAAGAAAATTTCTATATTTGTATTGCAGACATCGCAAGCCCTTGTTCCAGTTATCACCACTGCCAAAGAATTCTCTGCTACAAGCAATTTTACATCAAACACTCTGAATGACTTTGTTCATATCTCAAAGCCAGAGCTTATGCAAAAATAACAGGGATTCCCTTTTAACAATATTTTAATGCACTGTAACAGTAGCTTTGGTATAGTAGCTTTAATAGCAGCTCCTCATCCATAAGGTCTGACCTGTGCTTTCAGATGATTCTTCTGTTTGATGTCCTCCAGTAGTTGCGGCTCTTTTGGAGCTCTATGGGTGCTCATTGGTACCTGAGTAAAAAAACATTGTCTGTAAAATGGCAATCAAGAGACAGTAATAGTAATTACATGCACTTCAAATAACATATAAGCAGCATCCATCATATTACATCCATCATACAATTATTAGGCTCAAGTAATAATAATAATAATAAGTTACATTTATAGCGCCTTTCACAAACCCACAAACCCGCTTCACATAGCAAAAAAAAAAGAAAAAAAAAATTCCTAAGCAGTAAAGGAGGAAGAAAAATGCTGATTAAAGAGAAAATCTTTAAGTCAGATTTGAAGGAGGAGAAAGAAGAGCAGTCCCTGAGGGATTGAGGAAGAGAATTCCAGAGTTTGGGGGCCACGGCACTTAAGGACCTCCCTCCCAAAGTGGAAAGTCTGGTGCATGGGACAGCAAGTAAGTTATTACAAGAAGACCTGAGAGAGCGAGAGGGAGTGTAAGAGGTCAGCAGTTCTCTGAGGTAGGGGGGAGCAAGGTTATGCAGGGCTTTGAAAGTGAGTAGTTAAAATTTAAACTTTATACGTGAGGGGACCAGTAGCCAGTGTAGCTGAAAGAGAATGGGGGTGATGTGAGTTGCACGCTTAGTATGAGTGAGAACTCTAGCTCCAGAGTTCTGAATGTACTGTAGCTTTTGTATAGACTTCACGGGGAGACCAACAAAGAGGGAGTTACAGTAGTCAATACGGGACATAATGAAGGCATGAACCAAAGTTTTTGCATCATTATCGGTCAGGAACGGGCGAAGACGAGCAATGTTACGTAAATGAAAGAATGCAGTCTTAGTAAGGAACTTGATATGCAGATCAAATGTAAGTGATGGGTTAAGTAAAACACCAAGATTTCTAACAACAGGTGCAGGCTTACGAGCAGGCCATCAATACTAACTAAAAAATTGGATGATTTTGATAGTAAAGGTTTAGGGCCAACCAGTAAGACTTCAGTTTTATCAGTGTTTAGCATGAGCAAGTTATTGTGCATCCACAGCTTTAAATCAGAAATACAATCAATTCAAGTAGCTTTAAAAGGGAATTCCAACAATTTTTCAAAATTTCTGCATAATAAAAACATTGAGCTGTGAAGTCATTCAGAGTGGTTTGATGTAAAATGTGTCCATTGTAGAGAAACATACCAACTCTTTACAGTCGTGGTGATAGAAACCAGGGGTCATGATGTCTATAACGCAAATATAGCTATTTTATTTACTATCCAAAATGACCAGTTAACCTACATGTCTTTTGAGTTTTTATATGCAATGCTGATTGCCGGTAAAATAGAGGCAAATCCTATTTTGTAAGTACTATTTTGCCTTATAACACCCTGAATGTTCTTCCCCGCCATGAATGGACTAAAAAAACGTTTTAATCCGAAATCTTATCACAAAACTATCGAAAAACAATGTCTCAGACATCAGTCAATGCGTTTGTATCCATTTCACGTAATCATTTTCTGTGAGGTAGCTTTTAGAGGCATTAAACACTTTAGATATCTGGTTCCTATCACCAACACTGTGAAAAATTCTGACTTAGCCATTTTCTCTAGAGCTGAGCTTTTTACATCAAACCATGTTGAATGATTTTGTTTACATCTTAGCAATTTAATTACGTATAACTTTTGAAAAAATGATGGAATTCCCCTTTAAGGAGTTGATGCTGACTGGCTTGGTTTTCTCCTGCTGTGGAATAGGCTCAGGAGCAGGGAGTGGACGAGGTTTGGGCTTCGTCAGATCAAACTTCTGAGGTTGTGTGCACTTCTTAGGGGATTTCCTTGGCAGACTGCCTTTGGTCATTTTCTTGCTTAGGTAATCTAGCAGACCTTCGATCTCAGCTCGCCATCTAATGGGGAAGACAGGGAGAAACTGTAATCAGCATTATCAAGAAAAGAAGGCATCATTGCTATCATGCAGCTTTTCCTCTGCAGTGTAAGATCTATTTTAGTTGTTTAAATTCTTGATCATATTTGTGTTATATACAAATATATACATATATTAGAATTCTGTGCAATTACAAAAACCTTTGCACCTATCATCGTTTTAGCACAAAGGAGGTTTTCTACATGAAAATGGATCTACATGAATCTACACTGATCAGTAGCCTTGTATTTACCTCAGTAATGGAGTTATCCACTTGTGTTCTACGTAGTCAGCATCATAGATCTGACTCCACTCCCCATGAATCCAGGTGGTGAGATTGGTGACACTGAAGAAAAAACTAAGGAACTGAAAAAATTACAATATGTTAAGCAATGTATAGCATACATGCTGTGTTTTAGAAGTATTAATAGTTGTGACATCACGAAATCAGTGAATTCAAAACAAGCTATTTTCAGCTTAGTCTCCATATATGGAGAGTAAAGGACAAGGACATTTTGAAACTAAATATAAACAAAACATGTTTATATATTAAATTAATTTTTAAAAATTAGGAAAGTTTGTTTTTCCATGATATGGACCCATTCAATTTTTGATATATATGTAAATTAAATTATTTATAAAATATATTGCCAAGCTCTATTTCCCAGGCATATTAATGAACAAAAATAAACCTGTTTGAATACGGTAAAAACCTGTAAAGATATAAGAATGAATAAGCTGGAATGTGTCTTAGTCCAGTTACTGCAAAAAAATGAAGGTCATGTTGTTCTAATGCACACGCCCTGCTATGTGATAACGCAGTTACTGTGTAGCTTCTTACCTTGTGCATTTTTGAGGTGTCCAGAGACTTGATTATTCTACTGAACTGCTCCAAGCCCAGATCTTCAAGATGGAACATGGCAAGGTAACACACCACTGAGAAACCAAACAACAGAGCATAATGATTAAAACTGATGCAAGCTTTATTATATGGCAAAATTATATTTAACACTTTTAGTTGTGATGCACCCTGATTAGATGATTTCTATAAGTTATTTATGGTAGGTGACACTAAGAGTGATTTTTAAAAAATCATTCTACTGTAAATATAACAAAGCTTACCACCAAATTTGTTCCGATCAGCTTTGAATAAAGATTTCCCATTCTGATCATAAAAGACGTTGACCACAATATCCAAAAGCCTTCGGTGCACAACGCATCCATAAACTGTATCAGTGATAAAGGTCTGATCAGCAGAAGGATGGTTCTAGAGTGCCAAAGAATGCCACATATGATCAATGAAAACAAACGTAGGAATTTATGACACTTTACATTTCATATAAATTTATCTCTCATATGTAAGAATACCCCAAGGGTCTTGGCAGAATCCTCTATAAAACTGTCCACACTCTGTTTGTCTGGCTCATACTTGTCCAGCAGTGTGATGGCCTCTCTGACAAGCTCGCTGTAGTTCATCCTGAGACCTTTTCTAAATGAGACCAATACAATATGAACTGAATTTACATATTTAAGTTTTAAGCATATTAATTCTGCACAAACTAAACGTTTTTAAGAACTTACCTTCCAAACACTGCAGGTTATGTCTGAAACATTGCTCTTATAACTGACGAAATGCTGCCAGAAGCATTTTCCATTTTCTGCACCAGGCCCGTCGTGCAAGGTACAATGTTTTCCTGTTGCCAAGCAACAGTGGGGCGTTTCCCAATTTCGGCACTTCCTCACATGATTTCATTCTTCTTTTATTCACCCACTGTAGCGTTAAAAATACGCGTAAAATGTATTTCGCGTTCATAAAAAGTGCGTGTGCACACTGATTTATTTACTGATGCTTTGAGGGGCCTGGACGATTCACGAAAACAAGAAGGACCTCTGACACAATGAAGAGAGGAGTTATAAAGAAGCATTTGGCAACCCAGTCCATCCTCTCTCGCTCCAGTCCGAGGCTACTTCCGCAGATCATGCGCGTAACAGTGATGGTTCAGTTCGACTGGGTTTACCGAACCGATTCCTTAGAACCGCCCGTTTCAGTGAATCAAACTTGCGCTTGAGTGATTCATTGAATCAAAAGTCAGTCAGATTTATTCTTGTCTACCTCATAAACAACAACGACCACCACAGCGAATGAGTCTGATGTCCGCTATGTCTACACAAACACAACAGAGAGAGGACGACAGCCATTTACAGAGGACAAATGTGAATTCGAAGTGAAATCAATTCAATGATTTATTTCATAATTTTATGTGGCTGCCTTTTGATAGAGTATTTTTCGAATTGTAATTTAAGTTTTCAGCCTAAAATGTCGACATAAAAGGCAGATCAAAGGTTCGATTCAGATAGACTTGTGAATCGGTTGGACCAAACGAAAAGAACCGGTTCAGAAGGACGACTCGGTTGACGAGTCAGACATCTCTGCTAGCGAGCTAAATACCTGCTCAGCTCAGTCATGAGAAAGGAGTGTTTTTCGGTGCGAAACGGCATCAGGACAAGCGGGCATGAGGACCGAAGTCAACGCCGCTGTATGTGTACAGTGGAATAACACGAGCTGACTCTGTTCACGGCCGTTGTTGACTCCATTTGAATCAGAATTGTTTGAACCTAGGTAGCCACTAGCCTGTTAGCATAATTGGCTAAAGGACTGTGCCCGGGTCGGTCTGCTAACAGCTGCGGTAGGTTAGGCGGCTGCTGCCGCTGCTTCAGGTAACTCGTCAGCGTTGGCAACCTGGGTGTTAGAAGTGACAAAGGGTCGGTAAACTGGCGAGGTAGCCAATGATGAATCGCTTCCGAAAGTGGCTGTACAAGCCAAAGGTAAGTCTGATTTGATTTTCGACACTTTTTTAAACGAACGTCTGTACAGTACATTGTGTGTATCAGGCTAATAATATAACCTAGGTTAGCTAACTTCTGGGAGCCGCTGTGTTTTTGCTGTGCTGCAGAATATCTCGTCATTTCGGAGCTTCTTCAGTGTCGTTCAGCTGACAGTAGAACCTCCTTTTGTCCACGTTCCTGAAAAGCCTGGAAATATTACTGTTACTTAATTTCTGGCTATCGAAAATAAGTTACTTTTATTATGTATGCTGCTCGAAGGTTTCCTCAGTTTCATGTGCCTCCATAAATTATTAGACAGTTGATTTGCGTGAGACGTGCAGTTGCATCACACCAGCGCGTCCTACCTGCACGTACAGTTTATCACGTCATCATCATCATCAACAGTCATTAAATTTATCCTGTGCAGCCAAGGGCAGGTCTGTGCCAGCACCCCCCTTACTAGGCGCTGTTTAAAGGGATAAAATTTTTTTTTTAATTCCACGTAATTAAAAGGTTGAGGTGTAAGCAGAGTCATTCCGAGTGGTTTGATGTGAAAATGCTCCGAGTTTAATGCCTCTGAAAGCTCCTTCACAGAAAGTTATTATATGAAGTAGATTTATGACAGTTTTGTGGGAGTTTTGACTTGAAATGTATTTTAACACAGTTATGGCGAAGAGGTACATGCAGCGCGTTGTAAGGCAAAATAATCCCCAAGGAAAGCTTGTGTTTTTTCTGATCAAGATTACATATAAAAACTCAGATGACGTGTAGGTTCACTAGTGGTTTCGGATAGTAAATTAAAAAAAGGCTATATTTGTATTGTAGGCAAGGCGACCCCTGGTTCCTGTTACCACCACTGTGAGGAAGCCAGAGTATGTTTCTCTACAATGAACCGTTTCACATCAAACCACTCTGAATGAATCTGTCATGGATTGAATCATTTAGAATTTTTTTTTTAAATGGTGGAATTTCCCTTTAATGAATGCAAATAAAATTAGTTAAATTGCCAGCTATTTGCCAAATTAACTGCCATATGAATGGCATGGTTTGTAGGTGGAAATGAAATGAAGAGCCACAGTAAGTAATAAACACCTGAGCATGAGGAGGAGCAAACAACAGAACCTATTTCCTTTAATTCAGCTTTTAGACTCTGAAAAGTGTGGCTGAGCCCTTGGTTAAAAAGCTGGCCTGAGTCTTTGGTTAAATAATGATCCTGAATGAGGTGTGTGTGCGTGTGCAAGCATGTGGGAGTAAATTGATGAACGCTGCACTTGCACATCTTGGGAATGAATGCCACCATCGTCCAGCCAGCAAGATTGAGGAATTGAACTGCTTAACTATGTAATTTGAATATAGCAGTTTATTTTAAAAGTATCTGCTCTTGTGAGTGAGGTCTCAACAGTGAAACCTGGTTCTGTTCTTAAAATCTGGCACTGAGCAGCTTTCCAGGCACTTGGATTGTTCACACTTCCTGTTGTTGTATTGTCCACATCAGGTTAACAGATTACATCAAATCATGGGCTCAAAATAGCCATTTAGAACTGGCATCTTTGTAGTACCTACATTGTAATACGTTTTATCAAGAAGAATGTTTGGCATTGTTATATGTGGGAGACGTTCTTTTTAAGCTTTGAAGAGTTTTGGCTTGCTAGTGCTGAAATTGTATAGCTACTAGGGATGCACTGAAATGGGGAATCATGTGCCGATGCGAATACCCCGTATTTTTCTTGTACATATCTGCTGGTGCTGATACGTAAACATTTATAAAAATGTAGAAATTGGGACTTCATCTATCTGGATTAGCACAGAGAAATGTAACACTCGTTTGTAGAGGGTTACAAATGCAGTAAAATGAACAAAATGCAGATATTTTAGCATAGTAGCCCATGGTCTCCTAAAGATTCTGCTCTTCTGGAGTACAGTAACTACATGAATAAATTAGTTTGAAATATTGCCCTATTGGCCTATAAATCTAAACATCTGGTTGATACTGATTTTTTTTTTTAAACAAATATCTGTAATAAATATATGATTCCCATATCATTGTGCAACCCTAGTAGTTACATGCTACTTATTGTCAGTGCTGATCTTATTTTTTCATGGTCTTGTAACTGTGTGTTGAGGATGTTTGTCATACATACCTTAAACCTTCTGGCTAGTCCTTATATTTCATTTTAGGTATTATTTGTAGTTTATTTGGTGTAATTTCACAGCTCTCCAATATCTGTCATCCTTCTGGTAATGCTCTTATGGTGAATCATGTATAAGGCATTGTACTGGCAGGACAAAGGAAACCACAAGCTCCATTTTTGCAAAGGTTCAGTAGTCCAGTTTTATTGATGGGCTGTGGAACAGGCCACTTGAGATCAGAAGTTAAATGGAAAAAGTCATGTTCGCCTGCTGCTTCACCGAAACAATGGCATGAAAACGTGACGTGTCATTGAGCGTAACGATAAAAGTGTAACGACAAAGACTTCAATTGCACCACACTGGATCAACCACATCTCTTCCCAGTCTCTTATTACTATCAGGCAAAATTGTGTTTAATTACACAGGGGAGGCTAGAGCTCAAACATCCAGCTAGAAGTGTAGCATAACACTCCAAGTGATAAAAGATGATGAAATGTCACCCTCTTTTTGTGAAAGAGAATAGTAATTATTCTCAGGTGGTTAAATCTTTTGGAGTGTATATTGGCTGAGTGAGCATCTCAGATCTGGGGGTCTGTTGGCTACACAAATCGGCTTACTCTCTCCACCGCTCTATGTGCCAGACACGTGTCATAACCAAGCCTCAGTTCATAACACACATGATGAATGGATTACAAATGCGTAAACTCCCAAACGTTCAAATGCTGTCAAGCTTGACTTGTGGAAAAATACTGGAGCCAGAAATTGATTCATTTTGTCAGGTTATTTCTCCTACTCTTACAAAAACGTAACATTTGTTTTATATTTCTCAAATTATACTTAATTTTTTGTGAATGACAAAAGCTACATATTCCGTTATGCCACACCAAATGCTTCAGGTGCTTTTCCAGATGTGGCCAAAATGCAGTGAGCGGCAATGATTGTTATCTCACAATGTTCCCACCAGAGATTCAATCAGTAATTTTTTTTTCACTCATTTTCATTTCAAAAATGTAAATAAAAGCATTTTGGTAGATATGTCATCACTAAATAATGGATTGTAGACATGATAACAAAGTGGTGTAACATTATTTTTGTGAAATCTTCCCAAATTTAAAAAAAACAAAAACTTTTTTTGATCAGATCTGCACAGGAGAACATTTCAGCAGAAATGCTTGAGGTTCTCTGGGTTTGGATGCAAGTGCAAACATGAATAAAATGCAATAAAGACTGGTATTAGTCCTTTTCCCTCAGATTATTAAGGCTTAATGAATTCTGGAAAGTGTTTCTTGTGTACTTCCTTTGATTTAGTTACGTGCACCTCTGTGAATCATCGACTGTGATTATTGGCTAGAACAAACCATAATAATAGGAACAACCGTGATTCATAATCTACATAACATAGTGTAAAGCCCCAGTGGTTGGAGGGAGGCACAGTGATGTGAAAAAAAGTTCTTGGAATCCTCTCTGGAACGCGTTCCTTCCAAACCCATGATGCACGGCCTGGAAAACGTTCCCTGTGGAGTGTGGAATGCGGCAGAAGGAGGCCAAAGGTCTGCCTCTGGATCAGTGCCCTTTTTGAATCCAGCGGTGGCATCCTTTTCCATCATTGTACAGTGGCCTGCATTTTTGGTTGTCACTTTGTGTGTCTGTGTGTATGTGTGTGGCTTTATGTGTGTGTGTGTGTGGCTTTTGTTCCTCAAGAATGCTTCGTGGCTTTATCACATTAACATACACAATAGACAGTGTTGTGGTATAGGGCAGTACTGGCCAATGTGGATAGTCATGCACAGACGCATAACCGCACAAACAAACATTAGATTGTTTTTAGCCTCAGTGGGACAATTTTCCATTGGATTCTTTTTAACAGCCTTCCTTTCTTGCTCTTTCTTTCTTGTGGTGCAGAGGTCGGACCCCCAGCTACTGGCCCAGTTCTACTATGCAGATGAGGAGCTGAACCAGGTGGCCTCAGAGCTGGACAGTCTGGATGGCAGGAAGGACCCTCAGAGGTGCACACTGCTGGTCAACCAGTTCCGCTCCTGCCAGGTTAGTCTTCACGAATCTGCCCTCACAGTACAGGAGGGTCACTGAAGAGGATTGATGTGTAAACAGTGATAACAGAAGACGTCCACACAGTGATATCAAATTTAATGTATTGACATTTTGCTGTGCTGCCTGTCCAGGATAATGTGCTGAATATCATAAACCAGATCATGGATGAGTGCATACCAGAAGATCGAGCAAACAGAGACTTCTGTGTGAAATTCCCAGAAGAGATCCGTCATGACAACCTTGCGGGACAGCTGTGGTTTGGGGCAGAGGTACGATCAAATGCCTTAAACAGTTCTTCCTTGTAACCATGGCTGGAGTAACTGTATACCCAGGGGTCGTCAAGTGGGACACCGCAGTCCAGATGTAGACCCAGCAAAGTATTTCACCGTGAACCAGTATGACTTCTCCCAACACATGCGCTTATGTGAATTACTTTTTAGAGCAGAGACTAGCTACAGTGGTTGCTATCAGGTTAGAATGCAAGTAATTTTCATGTTTTTGATGACGGAAACAGAGCGTTTAGACACAAACTAACAAAGAACTATGTGTTTTGTTTAAGATGTGTTTTTCTTAAGATTTTTTTTCTTTCAGAAATATTTTCTACTTGTATGTATGTTTTGAAATTCTCATTTGATCATGAAAGAATGGTCAAGATATCAAAATCTGTAATTTTGATATTTATTTATTAGTTGCCTGGGCTAATTATTAATGGTTAAATATTGAAAGGCAACCATTGTCACCATTCACTTATGTTTGTTATCCGGACCTTTGTAAGAAAGAAATTTTACGTAACTGGACGTTTGCAAGTTTTAGTTGAGTACTCCTGGTACAAGCTATGTAGGCTCCAGCCTATAGAAATGGCAAAAAAAATTACTTCCCTTATGGTTTATTTATTTAAATAAATAAAGAAATTTGGGACATAAAACTGTAAATAAATAAGTAAAAACAGAAATAAATAAATTAGTTAATGGCACAAACGCAAAAATAAAGAAATAAATGTGAGACATAAGACCATAAATAAATTAATTAGTTGAAGTTGGGTTAGAAATGTATAAATAAATGAATATAGATACACATATGAGCAGACATACTGAGATTAATTAATTAATGTTTGATTTATTTCTGCTTTTATTTTATTTTATTTTATTTTATTTTTTTCTATTTTGTTATTTCTATGTTTCTTCCTCCAGTCTATGCTAATGAAGTAAGTGTGGTCAAGGTTGACTTGCAAGGCAAACCAGAAACTATGAAACAGCAGGTCTATTTCACTTCTCTTAAGTCCGCAATTAACCCCTCTACCAGAAGCAGAAAGTAGTTATAGTTGTCCAGTTGTCCACTGTCTAGTTTGTCTGTTATCAAATGCAACTAGAAATTCTGCTCAGATTCTCCAAAATCAATGAAGTATTAGCAGCATTTAAAAAACAGTAGCGTGTAGATTTAGTCTTTCTTAATAGCATAAATCTATAAATAAATACATAATGTAAAACATAAAAACATGCATTTATTTGTCAAGGTTTTGTGTCCCAAATTTCTTTGTTTATTTTCACTTTTCTGATACTCGTTGATATGTTTGTTTTTGTTTTTACTTATTTGTTTATTTACTTACATGCTAACATATTGGATCATTACTACACACACATTCATGTCATCTCACAAGATGGAGGGGTGGGGAGGGGGGTGGAGTGTGGGTGCACAAAATTCCAGTTTGTTTTGTATTAGGATATATTTTTTTAATTATGTAGGGTCGCAAACCATCACTCTTTTCTCAAAACCTGATAACTTGCTGCACCGTCTTTTTCTGTCAGTAGAGCGGGAGAGTGTGTGAGCAGTGTGGAGTGAACACGATTTTTCGCTGTTTTAAATCACTTTATTCAGCTAGCGTAGTAGAATGTTCTTCAGCTCAGCTAATGACGGACTCAATTTAAACTTCTTGTTGATTTAACATTATTACATTACTCTCCAATCAAAAATATCTCTTTGTGTGACTTTTGTATGGCTATTTAATAACTTATTAAGGAGCAACACATGTTTGTAGTACTGGGGGAGAATGTGTGAGTGATGAACAAGCTGATTTGAGAAACATTGGTCTACATGCTATGAGCTGTTCAGATTACGATTTTATGCAGAGTAACAATGGATACACATTTGTGCGTGAAAAACTGAATATCGCTCCAGGCCCCCTCAGCCACGTGAAAATCTCACGTTAGTCACCTCACCAAAGTTGGCAGGCTTGTTATTCTGTCATCATTTTCAAAAGGCATAAGTAAGGTCTTTGTGTAAGTAGGCCCTTCAAATATTTCGTAGCCTGATCCCACAAAATGGGTTAATCTGGCCTTCCTTGTAACTGTCCCCTTAAATTTTTCATTAAGGATCTTGGCCAGGTTCTTTGTAAAGCACCTTTTATAGTCGTGTCTGTTTCATTCAAATGTGCTTTGCAAATTAAATGAAACAGATTTTTTTCTGAGTTGGAAAGCCTGCTGTTGAGTATTAGCCATACTGTCATTACTTCATTGCTTAACCATACAAGCAAAATAATAGTTTCCTCCACTGACGTATGCTTAGAGTGAATAACACTCTTTTGAACATTGGTTCTGTCTCCAGTGCCTGGCAGCAGGCTCGATCATCATGAACCGGGAGATAGAGAGCATGGCAATGCGGCCACTGGCCAAAGATCTGACGCGCAGTCTGGAGGAGGTGCGCAACATCACACGCGACCAAGCGCTGCGAGACCTCAACTTCTACACAGAGCGCATGAAGGAGGCTCTGCGCCAGTTTGACAGCCTTTTTGCTGAGTTTGAACTCAGGTACACTTACAATTACATATAATAAAGGAAAAGTGTCGTAACATAAGAGAACAGAAAACTGCTTTATTTTAACTTTACAACATTGCAGTACAGCGTGTTTATATTTGTTGTTGTTGTTGGTTGTGTTGTAGTTACGTGTCAGCCATGGTGCCTGTGAAGTCTCCTAAAGAGTACTACATTCAGCAGGAAGTGATCGTGCTCTTCTGTGAGACTGTAGAGAGGTGAGTAGCACACAGATGGCTAAAACACTATAAAGCACTACTGGTCTCACACAACAGTATGAGCTTGAGCTTGAACTATTTTACTAGTGCAAATAGAACAAGAATTGTTTGTTTTGTTTTTCTTTTATAAATTGGGACATATACAATAAGATAAATATTTGTTTTAAAATGATCAGTTTCACATTTTTTACTTTTTTTTTGCACAGTTGATTTTTTTTTTTGCAACCTTGCAGTCCTAATGTGTTAGAGCGAAATCCACAAAGTAGTATTTTTATTTTCAGAAAGATTCTAAGAAACTCTCATCAGTCTTAAACTTAACAACCATGGAACTGTTCCCCCTTAAACGTCATTAGACTGGCTTGTTACTCAATTCAACACTTTCTTTACTTACCTTTATGAGGTTTCTGGTGTGGGTCTAGATTGCACTACAGTTTTCAACTGTCTAGTTTTAAGGAGCTGTGCAATATCTGGAGAAAGCCTACTGCTCACTGTTAGCTAATGTATTCTCATTTCTTCATTACTGTTGTACTTTTGAGAAGTTTTTACACAACACTGCCTTCCTGTCTCCATGTTCTTTATGACTCCCACAGCCCTCTCTCAGATCTTCAGCAAGGGGTTTCTGACTTTGTAGTGCAAAGCAGAAGCCACACAGAACTTCAGCCCGAGATCTCAAAGTTATTTCCACCTCCTACAGTTTTGCAGGTTGTCTTAAATCACAACCAGGCACAGTCTATGCTTGCAAAGTCAGAATTTAGATTTATCTTATAGGGTCGGTACATGCTTAGTTTTTTCCCGAACTGCCTTTTGATTATTGTTTTTATTAATCAACACAGCAAGCTGTTCAGAAATAAGCAACTCTGTGGAGATCTGTGTGCTCTGTTATTCTAGCTGACCTTACTGTGAAAATGATATTTCTGTACAAATGAGAGGTTGTTAAAAGTGATTTCAATGTATACCAAGTCTACAAAAATGTCAGCATGTTGCCATCGCACAGAAACCTTCTATCTCCTTTTTGTATTATTTGCAAACTACAGTTACCTTTTGCATTGTGTTAAAATTTCATGATGAACAGTCAGTATAATTCCATTGTTATCTTATCTTACGCTATAGTTCAAGTTCCTGCTATAAATTAAATGTATTTATTGAACTCTCTTCTAAATAATTGTTTTTAAATAGATTTGTTAGTTAGTAGCTAATAAGACAGCCTAGCACAAAATAAAATGATGCCATTACAATCACTGCTGTCCTGCCCACACAGTACAAACATGTTGTGTAAAGCCAAAAAACAGTGAAATTAGTCATTTTTAAATGTACTTTTTTTTTCTTAATAGTTTTAAATTTTCCTATGAGAAATAAAATGATCAATGTAATTTATGAATCTGTGACACAAAACAAGGAAGTTTTTATCCCTAGCCTCAGATTTCAGCTCTTGAAAATTGAATGACCAAAAATAATTCACTATGTAAAAGCAATAATTCAATGTGTGACTTCAAATTTAAGGGCCCTGAAGCTTGGCTATCTCTCTCAAGACATGATTGATGACTATGAACCTGCTCTCATGTTTACAATCCCTCGACTAGCCATTGTATGGTAAGTGATTCATCTCACTTTTCAGCAACTGCAATTTATTCACTTTCTGCCTCAGTTCTAGATGATTATCTAAATGTGTTAGATAATTTCTTAAAGGAATCATGTTTTTTTTCCCTCTTGCTTCAGAGGAAAACACTCTTTTGTTAACAGGTAAAATTATTTTAATGTTGTGTGTTATTAGTGGACTTGTGGTGTATCCTGAAGGACCTCTTAACTTGGACAACAAACCAGAGGACATGTCTGAACTCTTCCGACCTTTCCGCACTTTACTGAAGAAAATAAGGTACCTCTTGTATTTGTAGTCTTCAAATTTCTAACCACTTATTAAGGCATATGAATTTCTCCCCTTCAGTGTCTAAGTTTGGAGAGCTTAGTCAACTCACTATGACATTCCTGTTTATCTGTTGCATGGCATCATAACCAAATCATTATGAGAAAGGGAGAAAAAATACCCACATGAGGCCAGTGTCAGCTAGGCTTACTATTTTCGTGGCACTAATGATAATGTGTGGTTTTCAGCAAGTTGTTTTTACCTTATGACCAAGCAGGCCTTTGAGTGATGTTTTGTGTTGTCGACATAGGGATCTGCTGCAAACTCTGACGGAAGACGAACTGATGACACTGGAGCGGAGTTTGTGCATCTCCCAGGATGGTGAGTTCCCCGTAGGCCCGGATGTCTCCTCCACCCGGGAGCCAGCCACCTCCAACAGCATCGAGAGCCAGGCAGAAGAGCTTCACAAGAGTGAGGAGCGGAAAGAGATGGAGAAAGCAGTTGACCTATCTTTGTGTACCTCCCAGCATGAAGAGATGGACAGCGTGTGGGACGAAAGTGAGGGTCAGCAGGACGTCCCAAGCGAGGGAGAGGAGGATGCGGACACAGACCTGGCCTGCTCCATGCAGTATGATGAAGAGGAGATTGAGCAGCTCAATATGATGGTGCACCGGGTAGGTGACCAGATGTCTACACTGCTCTCCCCTCCGAGCCAGAAGCAGTCTCCGGCCCACCAGCCACGGGCATACAGGCCCAGCCTGCCAGGGTCCAGTGCGCCCTCCAGCACTGAGAACTCCCCTCACCGAGCCCCTGGCTCCTATCAGGAGGAAGACGAGCGGGTTTTCTTCATGGATGATCTGGAAGGGGTAAGCGGTGGGGTAGGTGTTGTGACCAGTGCAGATGAAGTCCATCAGGGACAGCGAGCTAGCCCCACCATACATACCAGGCCCACTCCTTCAGCTGATTCCACATGTAATGGTTGGATGACAGTTTGTCAATCAAATGAACCAGTCAGTCAGAGCAACCAAGATACACCCAGTCTCTCCTCCGGAATCGTTTCAACATCAGACGCGTTACCGCTGGTGAATGGCTGGGAGGGGCCACAAGACGAAGAGGGGGTGGAAACAGCAGAAGTGATCGCTCATCGGACGGGCGGTATGAAGCTGTCTGCCACCGTCATCTTTAACCCCCGGTCACCCAGTCTGTCTGACCTCAGTGTGGTCTTGCCTCGCTCAGCTGAGGGTTCCACAGCAGCACAGGGCAGCACTCTGGTGGCGACCCACTGCCTGCTGAACTCTTGCGTTTGCTGCACTGCTGGCTGCGTCGATGGCCATGACGATCCCGCTGCTACAGAGACTGCAGGAGCAGGAGGGGCTCTGGGCTTTGACAAATGCAAGCTCACTATTACCAGCTCTGTTATTCATTCAGCGGTGGGGGTTGGTAGTGCAGGGAAAGGAGATGCCCCTCTGCCTCTGCCCCCTCCTCCTGCCCCGCATGAGGGAGTGAGGGAGGACGATGAGGAGCAGGAGGGAGTGGTCCTTTCCCAGTCCCCATGCTGCGAGAAGTGCCTTGGCAGCAGCTCGAGTGTCACACTGTCCAAGGATAGAGACTTGGGGGACCTGGGAGATAGTTGCACCCATCAGGACAGAGCCTGCAAGGGGATGATCAGCACTGCAGCAAAGGAGATACAGGAGAAACAGTCCAAAGAAGAGAACAAAAAATACTCTAGGTTTGTGTGCATACATTTGCTAAGAGAGATAGTGAGACAAGTTTTCCTTCTTATTTTATTTTTATCTGTTTGGATGATGGATGATATTCATGAATGGAAATATTTGGTTATTATCAGTTCACTGTTGAAATTGCAGCCCGTAATTCCCACCACTAACTTCATGTCCAATTTGTGCTCATGCACACGAATAGTCACTAGAGTGGACAATTCCTTTTCTCGCAGTCTTACTAAAATGGATAGTGTAGTGGATAACACCATTTCCCTAAAGCTTCCAGGCCACTACTGTTCACCTACCTCTATATGTCTTTTTCGATAAGAGTATCTGTAAATATGTAAATGTTTACAGTGATTGTCCTCTCTGATTTAGCTCTTTCATGACTATATAGAATAAATCAGTGAAGGAAAAGTGTTTACAAAAAACGTTACATTAATAAGAACAGCGTTATTAGTTACGTTAGCTGTCATGGTAATTTTGTTGACGTTACGTTTGACAAATTCCGACAGAAATTAGTTCTGTGTCCAAATAAACAGGCTCTGGATCTCACAAGCGAGGGTGAAAAGTAACTGATTTGTTGTTAATAGTGGATATCTGTGCATGTGTTTAGGGTTGAGGCTGAGTGCAAGCAAAATGCTTGCATTTGCTCTTTCTTTCTTTTGAAAATGCGATCAAAATTTTTATTTAGGAGCACATCGTGTAAGAACATATTTCAACCTGAAGAGCCTATCACTTCATTATGTGCATTTATTATGTGTACATACAAACATGCATATTCTTTTCAACAATGTGTGCCACTGGCCTCAAATATTTAAAGGACTTGATGAGAATATTAGCCTATTGCCTCAGCACGCATGCTGCAAGATGCCTAACTAACCCACTAAATAAACTTGCGTAGCTGTCAAGTCTTACGTTTTTGTTAAAAGCTGCTGGTTAGAGACTCATGTTTTTTGCTTACGTTGCAGTCTGTCATACTGCTGTCAGTCATGCTGTAAATGTGACGTGTATCATACTCTCAAAAAGAGTTTGTTTCACCGCATGCAGACAGGGGCAAAGATGAAATGAAACACGCTGCAAGAAAAGAACATTGTAAATACCAAACAACTGAAAATGAAATGTTTTTAAAGTTGTTCAGGTAATTCTTAAGGGCTTGGACAATGTAGGAAAAATGCGATTCCTAAATTAGACATCCTCTCTGACTGAAGGAAAGAAAAAATAAGGGAATAAAAAAGTTGATTTTAAGTTTGTGCTCATAGATTTTCCAGAAGTGCCAGTGCCTCTTGGCAAAAGCTTAAAATAGAGTCCATGGTGTTGTGAAAGGCAAATGGTAAAATTAGTGGTTATTGGTACGGATATCAGCCACAACAAGGTTAATAATCGATTATCCTTATCAGCCCTGAAATTCTGTATCTTTGAATCCCTAATATTTTTGTTTTGTTTTTTTTTTTATTATTATTTTATTTGAATGCCATTTCTAGTTGCGTTCTGTTGTATATCAGATAAAATTTGAGCCCTTATTCAGTTTTTTTTTTCTTTTGTTTCTCCTTTTTCCCTCTTTGGTTGATGGGCTGCAGTTTACAGGAGTCCCCTCTCAGTTCAGGCACCAGCAGTGACTGTGAGAGTGTGTCTCTCACCACATGCAGTCTGTCCAGTGTGTACACCCCGAGGTAATCAGCTATGGCTTTTGGACCATTATGCAAGAGAGACTGTTCGTTCATTTATCACTGTTTGTATCTTTGCTTACCTGTTAATATCTTGGACTCTTGGACTTCATTGGACTGTAAATGTGAATGAACAACTAAAATTTCAAACACATTAATGAACAAGCCAGCTGTCATAAAGTTAGCATATTGTATTATCTGTTGACCTCTGTTGAGTTTAAAACTGTTCTCTCTTCGTCTCTGTCTGTGCATTAGCTCAGTCAGTAGTCTGACCACCAGCTCAGAGATATCGGAGGATCTTGATCACCAGGAGATCCAGCTGGCCCTGCAGGCTGCCAAACTGGCATCTCATAACAAAATACGCTCACGTTTCCATAGCAGTAGTGACCTCATCCATCGGCTGTTTGTCTGCATATCAGGTATGCACTCACTGTGCACCTAATCATTCACGCATAAGATTTCACTTGCTGCTTGTAGAAGTGTGCATGGATTTGTTTCAAATTTTGATGTTACATAGTTACATATAAATTGAATTTCAAATAAAAACAAGTTGACTTAGAAGTTAAAAGCCAAACTGAGAAAAAGGCAATCAAGCAGTCATATGGTCTGCCTGCAGCGTGCCCTCTGAATTTTGTTTTTAATCCTGAATAGACCCTCACTTTTTTACATATGGATGATTTTTTTGTTGTTTTTTTCCCTGACAGATCAGTGAAATATTGTAAATACTCAGGCAATCAGAGTTAACATGTTAGTGAACTAAATTATTATTAAGCAGTATTTATTTACTTATTTATATTATGAACCAAACATAGTATTACAGGATGAAACAATAGCAAAGTGGGAAGTTACAGTTCCCTTTAGGAACCTCCACTGTAACAAGAATACATGCGCACTGGTTGGCATGTACTGTTATTTGTTGGAACGTGCAGCCACTGAAGCTCTCACAAGGTGCTGGTGCTGAAAACTGGAAACTGCATTCACGCTGTGGAAATCACAAGATGTACAGATTTACGTAAATATGGTGTTGCTGAATTACTGAAAGCAATACATTCTGATGAAGCTTATTTTCTTCACTAATTTAGTTAAAACACACTGCTTTTTTAATGAAAACAAAAATTCTTTAGTGTCAGATTTGAGCAAATAAGACAAACGCAATTACAATTAGCTACACAAATTAATGGTATTAAACATGATTATTATTTTAATCACTTGACAGTCCTTGTAAATAAACAATGTCACTAGTCCTTGCTGAGGACTGTTTGTAGCCGATAGGTTGTGTCGTACAGATTTTTTTTTATTTTCCTTGAGTCTACCCACCCCAACTGTACTTTCCTTAACATTTCCTAACGTCAGCATCAATGTTTAACGTTCAGTACTAAAAAAATGTGGGCTTGGGTTTTTAACAGCTCATCTCTCACTATGTTGCTACATGGTGGAACTGATTTCTGTAACCCTCAGGTGTGGCTGATCAATTGCAAACAAACTATGCAAGTGACTTGCGGAGCATCCTGAAGACACTGTTTGAGGTCATGGCAACAAAATCCGAGCAAGGGGACAACGAAAAGCAGAAGAAAGGCAAGTGGGCATTGGAATAAAAATATAGCAGGGTTGTGTTTATCACATCCTTGATGCACTTTACAATCTCATCTTTTCTTTGCAGGGCCCAGTCTGGGAAGTGGTGGATTAGAAGATTGTGCTCTCTGCCAAGAGACTATCTCCTCATCAGAGCTGGCAGCCAAAGCACGGGATGGACAGTTTGAAGGTTAGTGCACCTCTTCATTGCAAACTTGGTCAAGAGCATAATTTTAGACCTAAAATGAAACTCGGATTCGTTGCCTCACAAGAGTGTCTCTGCCCTTACAAAGATTCAGATTTGTTTGTTTCTTTAGGAAATTAGTCATCATGAAATCTGACATCTTATTTTTACCCAAACTTTTCTTTTATTGAATATTGTTGTAATCGATTCTAACTTAAACCAGCAAGTTGCTGCACTGATGCAATTTTACACCCTCTTGCCTCATTAATGGGACTTACTATAGTTACTCTTCCATGGCATGGCCTAATGTGTTTCTTCTCTCCCTACAGACCCTCCTGAGTGGGTTCCAGATGAGGTCTGTAACTCCTGCATTGCCTGCAAGGCTCCATTCACAGTCATCCGGAGGAAGCACCACTGTAGGAGCTGTGGGAAGGTACAGCAAAACATGCCAGCCATGGCACACTGTCCTGTAATGTATTGTTCTTCACCTACTTCAGGATATATTTCAGCTGAAAAACTGTATGTGAGACTTCATATGTGTGTCAGTAAGTACTAAGTGTGTACTAGGTATGTACAGGTTATAAGCATATTGTGTGCTTTTTTATGTCTGTTGCAGATCTTTTGCTCTCGCTGCTCTTCACACTCAGCCCCATTGCCCCGATACGGTCAGATGAAACCTGTGAGAGTGTGCACTCACTGCTACATGTTCCACGTCACGCCTTTCTACAGTGACAGGACTGGTGTCTGACAGTAACCCTCCCATGCACCACCCTAGCACCATCACCCATAGACATAAGCACATCACCACGCCAAGAGCTGGGATTGATTAGGGAGAGCTGCACATGTTTTTTTCCCCCTGTTGCTGAGTTTGTGCATATGCACATACATGCACATTTATTTAACATAAAAACTCGTACAAACATGTAAATACAAATACACTAAACCTCAAAAAACACTACAACGTAACAATGGAACCCATGAGCAAGAAATGAATCAGGTTTAAATTACTGATGAAAAATGACTTAATACTGAATACATCTTATCAAGCACAGACAGAGACCCTTCTGTTGCTCTAGAGATTGGGAGCCAGATTGTTTATTAAGGGGCTTCCCTTTTGAATCTGAAGTCTTATTTTGCTGTAAAAGAGCATGAAACAAACTGGTGGTTTCAGGTGATTGTAGTGTGTTCCAGTACTAGTCTCAGTGAATTTCACCCACTTGACTAAGGTTAAGTGCGCTAATATAAATAACAAATTTGTTTCACCTGTTAACAAATGTTTTTTTTCATAAATGTAGTGTGGCTTTACAGTGCCAGAAGTTCCATAGGGCTCAGAATTCCTTACTGAATGTAAACCAAGACAAACATGTAAGCAACTGTGACAAGTATGAAAACAATAATTATTAACACTATCTGCACCATTGATTCTGCCTGTGTGGTCATCATAGCACACTGAAGGTTTTTTTAATTATCATTATTATTATTATTATATCCAAATGTTTTTATTTAACAAATGATGCTGCTCTCTGTAATATAGAAGTGAAGCTTTGGGATACGTGGAATGGCCAAAAAAAGATATATGTATATATGCTGAACTTCATAAAGTGATTTTATGTATCTGATAAAAGAGAAGATTCTTTCGTGCTCTTAATGGCAATGAATGTGCAACACTGTAGAGTTGGATGCTTTTTTTTTCAATAACTAACTGAACTGGAAAGTAATTGCCTTTTACAGCAGTGTCTGATCCTTCATCTGCTCTAAGACTACATTTAGACATGCAGTCCAATCGGATGTTTTTCCCCTCCAAATCTAATACAGCCTGAAATTTTTCTTGAAGTCGTATCACAGGGAATATGATCTTATCAGTTCTGATCTGGACCACTTTCACATTCAGCAATTGTTCACAAGGCACCAGCCTGTCTAAACACACATCTGACCAGGTTAAAAGAAAATGGATGTGGGAAAACAAATTTGATTTGGGCATAACATGGTGCTGTCTAAATATAGCCTTGCTGCACCGTCTTTGGTACACAAGAACCTGCAACCCCCCTACCTCATACCTCATTTTATTCCTCTCAGTATTTTGCCACTAGCTGCAATCATCTGCCTATCTTAAAAAAAAAATGCTTAAAGTTCTTCCACATCCCGTACACTCACCTTCTCAACTAGGCCTGTCACAATTATGACATGTTCACTGATTAATATTTGTGATAAACAAGTTGTCTATTTTTGTTCCACAAAGCCATTAACATATAAGCCTTAAGTGTCCAAACTGACTGATTTAGCTATCTAGCTTCCGTGTAGTCAATACCTAGTAGTTCCCTACTGATGACACAGTTCAAGCTCAAGTAAACTCACTGCTGCTATCTAAAGGTGTTAACAAACATCAAATAAACATTGTTCACCACAGCCCTTTATGTTTGTTAATTGGCATCAAATAAACATTACTCACTTCTGCCTTCTGAAAGTGTTAACAAATGTCAAATAAACAAACATTACTCACTGCAGCCCTTTAAAGGTGATATTAATAAACAACAAATAATTGTTGCCCACTATTCACCACTGAGGCAGAAACCTTTTTTTTTATTTATTTTTTTTTTTGTAAGACGCATGATGTATCCCAATAAAGGCGCTTTCAGCTTTCTTTTATTTCCAGATATTTGGCTCAACGGTAAACATTGCTTGTTCCCACGTGAATGTGATTGTGAAAGCTAACAACTGTGGAAAATAATTGCAGTCAGCTCTGATAATTACAGTCCAGTGATTTGTGTAATAATTGTGACACGCTTACTTTCAACCCATACTGTCTTCTCTGTATCTACCGGTTAGGTGGACAAATACAGTTTTTCTTTTGTACTTGCATCCTTCTACTCTCGAAAATGTCATAATTATGGCCATAATCAGTCAGCAATGTTGATTTTTGTTGTCACTTGTGTAGTTTCACCTATATACATTTACAGGTGAGGAAAATGTGATCAAACTTGACAAGGAAATAATAATTACTATGATGTATTTATTTATTTGTTTGTGTTTTTCTGCTAGTTTATTTACTGCTCATTTGAGGAAAAATGAGCAAATTGATGCAATGTTTTACAAATCTTGGTCTAGAGCTGTGGTCAAACCTTATCATAAAAGTGTTTACAGTAATTGGCAGAATAGTTATATGTATCATTTTTGCCAAAATATAATTAAGTGGTTTGGCAGTGAGAAATACAAAAGTAGTCCTGGATTTAGTGACAGAAAATGATGTGTAATTTGTTTTCATTACCCTTTTTTGGCTACCTCTACACACACAATCCAATAATTTGATTTGTGTTCATCAAATAACTGTAAGCTATATTGTTCCGTTATCTGCTGAAAATGTACCCTAATCAAACAGTTATTCCCCCCGTTCGTGTTAGAGTTCCCTACAAAAATGCTTACCTTTTTTCTCATAAATTACAGACTTGTCAAATATTTCACTTTGCCTTGTCACTTTGTTACATGTCACTTCTTCCATTATGTCAAAATGAACTCATTCATTAGTGCAAAATATTTGTCTTTTTAATAGGTACTAATGTAAATATAAAAAATGCCTTAATATTAACTTTAATTAATAATCTAACTTTAATTTCTTTTGAAATGCATCCATTCAAGTGAGAATATATTATTTATTTACTGTGAAAGGTTGGCTATTATTTTAGGCAAATGATGACTATTCTTGGTGGCAAGCAATCCGGCCATACCACCGTTACCTGTAACTGACATTCTCACACACGTCCTTCACAGAGGACTGACAGCCTCAAACAGAGGTATCATCCATGTACATTAACATGTACAGTATCATCTGAGTTGTGTGCATGCTTTCTTTGCTGTATATATAATCTGATGTTTACTGTACCTTCATTTACAGCAGGGATTTTCTCTCCAGTCCTCATGACCCCCAGCCAGTCAGAGCAAACTTACTGAAGGTGCCTGAGGACTGGATTTAGGTCCTCTGATCGAAATTAAATGAATTTGCAGCTTGCTTTTTTTCCTTTTGTACCTCATTGAGTTGAGACTTGTGCTTCATGATCAGTAACACACCCTTGTGGACATTCTGTGTATTTCATCACTTCTTTTCATTCTGAATCCTTACAAATACCACTCGCCTTCATGTCCTCCCTCACTCTTTGCGAACTAACCTCATTGCCTATACTTCTGCATTAAGACTGCTGCTTTCACAGAAAGTTTTGAGATTTGACCCAGTAGGCTGAGCATTGTTCTTGTAAGCAAGCAAAAAAGTGTGAAGGCACCTCAGGATACTGATCACATCTCCCTTCTCATCTTCTACTAAGAATAATGCTTGATCATATACCCTGATTTTCATCAGATTGTTAATATTCCTTCTTCTGGAAAGCTAATGTAATACTCTTAACAGTATAGTGTGTTTGCTATTAATAGTTAACGTTGGGCCCTCAAATCAGTCCTGCTTTGTCAAACACCTTTTTTTGGTATCCTCAATGTTTGAGGTCCTCTAACAGCAGTACATAATGTACATAGTACATCAGTGTCTGCTAATGCGAAGCTTTAAAAACACAGTACCTCTCTACTGCTCAGTCTTCTCCCTTGTATTATTGAACCGGTTATTGTATTCTCATCTTTAGCTGAATAAGCAGGTTTTTTTGTTCATATTGTTGTAAAAGCGGATGTATCTGCAGTTGGAGTCCGTGGGGAACACCAAAACCATTGTTAGATTACAGCATACACTTGTTAACATTGGTAGAAACTATAATGTAAAAAGCTCTTGTGTGATAGACTCTAAGATGTAAAAGCAAGAGCTCCTCTCCACACTTCTGAATGGTTGGCCAAAGGCAGTTTGTCTGATAGAAGTGTACTGACTTCCTGTGTCGCGTTGCTTCCTTTTTTACTATCACTGCTTTTCTTCAGGACTGTGTTTGTACTTTTGGCATGGTGCTAACCTCCGAATGTGGGTTAGTTCAGATTTGGTGATGCAAGCCAAGGAATCAGCCACAGGTTGACCTTCCCTATGGCTGTTTGTCTTTGCAAACTCAGCTTTGGGCCTGTTGTGTGGGGAGTTTTTGGCTTTTACCTGCTGCCAATCCTCAGGCTTCAGTATGTCACTGCAGTTTCATTTTGCATTTTAAGTTAAAGAAACGTCAGATCTAAAGAACTATACAAATGTTTTATTTTACAAAGAGCAAAAATTATGAAGATATATATAAATGTACAAAATAACTTTTTCTCTGTATAAAGATCACAGTGACAGAATTGTACACACTATTTATTCAAAGCTTGTTTTTATTTTATAATGGCTGTTTCAATCCAATAAGACAGAACTTTTCTGAAATCTAAATTGAGTATTTATGTCATGCCATGAGAGTAATAAATTACATTTTTTCTTTCAAAAACTGAGAGCAGTTTCCTTTTTTATGTTTTGTATCAATTTTTGTGATGTTTGTTGTATTGGACAAAATGGAGCAATTCAGCTGAACATTTTAACATGTTGCCAGGTTTTGAATTTTCATGAATTTTAGTTTAATGGAATTTCCTCCATGGGAGTGATTTCACAACATAATATGAATGAGACCCATAGGACATTTGCATATGCATTTTTCTTTTTTTCACAGTTTTAAGAAGCTTTTATGTTGCCCTTTATAGTGTGTCAAAATTTAATGATGAATGAACCAGTAGAAATGGTCCAAAATCAATTGGAATAAAATCTTGTTTCATTACTTTTCATTAAAAGTTAATGTTTTTTTTCCTTCCCCAGTAAGTTACCGTTTTGGAGATACAAGGTTTTGTTCAGACTGCCAAGATATCCTAATTTGTTACCGCTGTGGCTTGTTTTAGCAATGAAATTCCTCTATATATAAATCCCTGATGTAGGCCAAGCACCATCAGCCTTGGACTGGTTAAAAGAATATGACAAGTGGTGATGTGGCACAGCCTTATTGTACAAGCTGACATCAGTGGTTGTCATGGTAACATTGTGTGGTAGCCGCACTGATCTGGCAAAGGTCTTCTGAGTCTAAAAATAACACCAGCTTCTTCCTCAAGCATAGAGCCACTGCAGAAATTCCCACCATCCCAGGCAAGCCTAGTAAAATTCTGCTCTGTAGAATGGGATGACCAACCGGCAGAGGGGCGTGGCCAGAGAGATTATTGATTCCCTGATGCAACACGCACTGAAAGGGAATGCCTTGGCTTGCGGAAGGACTGGAAATGAAGTCATCATCTGCAGGCTCTCCGGTAGGCTGATCATTTCCACTCTTTCAACCTTTCTTCTAATGCTCTCACTATTGATTGCTGTGCCGTCTCTCCATCCACCCTGCACCACAGACTCCATCTATGCTTCCCCAGATGGTTGTTGACGAGGAGATCAGTGGATGGTTCTTGATGAGATCGTCAGCGGAAGCAGAGGCTCCACTCTCAATGCTATAAACCAGGAGCGGCTGCAAAAATGAATCTCAACCATCAACATACAACCAGCAAAGGTGACACTTACTGTCTGGAGGCAATGAAGACTAGGGAACACTCGACTCCAACCAAGAAGCCGACATCTGTGAGTCTGAGCTATGCATAACACCAAGGCAGAGTCTGCATGCAATTTTTGTTCTCATTACAGATTAAATGCTTTGAAAGAAAGAGGAATATTGAAATGTAATACTTTTTTGGGTTATTTTGGGTTTTGGGTTATATAATAGCTGTCTAAAAACCTGCATCATGGAGAACTGTTGCATGCTGGACAGTTTTATAGTTGCTTTTGAAACAGAACACTATAAAGAAATTAAATACAGCTCAGCTAGACATTTATTTTATTTCATTTTTACTTCACTGCCTGCCCAGCCTGTGTAGTTCCCACTGAGCTGCAGCTGTACATGGTCACCAAACACTTATGTCTGATAATGCCTCACAAAATTAGAATCACTTACTGCAGGACACAATGCAGAAGCAGGTGGTGATGGAGAGCAGGAGAGAGCACTGCTGACCGCAGACCTGCTGGACAGGATGTTGCAGGCGCCACAGGCAGGATAAACACACTGCTGCTAATGGAACAGATGAATTAAGAGCGTGATGGGCATAACTCTTGCACTATGACGTAACTCATATTGTTGCGCCTCATGATTAGTATTTTTGTATTATTATTTATGACAAAACCAAAAACTGTCATCGAAGCAACGTCCTACGCTCTTAAAACGGATGTGTTAAACAAACAACACATTCTGTCTCTAACTAGACATATCAGTGTGTTCAGTTGGAGACACAAAGTAAAGTGAAAGTAACACAAAATGTGTTGAAATAAATATTTTCAGTTATGGATAAGACATTTTGGGCTACCTTTAACACAATGTGTTAAATCAGAAAGCAATATGACACAAAAAAAGTGCAATCTGACTTCAGTTGTCTTCCATTGTATGGACATTTTCTGTTTGTTCATTTGTCTGCTTGTATATGAAACTCTGCAAACTTCTGTTAAAGCGTGAGCTGAAATAGAGATGCAGCCGTTGTTTGTGTGCTACTGTAGACCTACTGTTACCCTAAACCAGTATGAATTTTTTATAACCCACAGTGTCATTAACCTGTTTCTCATCTCACTGTATAGTTCTGTGCGTAAGAGCTATGTTGTGCATGTCGTGTAATTTCAGACAAATTACTTCATGTAAAATATATAACCTCATGCAAAAGTTTGAACACCCCGGTCACATTACTTGTTGTTGATTTTTGAAGTGAAAACATCCTCTACAGTGAATAAACTTAAATATGACATTTTTAGAGATGACATCTGCAAATTGCAGTGCACATTTTCTAATTATTTGCAAGAATAAAACAAGCACACACTTTAAAACATAAAATGTGGCACAACTTTTGCACAGGCCACATTCTATAGGCAGATTTTATTTAAACATATAGAAAAAAGATTGTTTTATTCTCTTTGAAGGTATTGTTAGAAAAAAGTTCAGACTGAGGCATTGCAGTGTGATTTTGAGCCCACCTTTCTCTGAGGCCAAAACAAGAGTCCCAATGATGTAGAGATCAAGACAAGACTAACACCATTAAATTACAGTCTTTGGACTGAAATTGGACTTGACTACTACAACACTAGCATCCCAGGTTCATCCAGGCCCTGAATTGAACAACCACTCATTAATTTTACACTACCCCTGACCCAGAACCTTCTCAATGCTTTGATCACATATTTATTGCGTTATTGAAATGTAGTTAAAGTATTATTCTGGAATTGTTTGTGCTGTATCGTTTCTGTGCTCAGCCCAAGCCTGAAAATGCCATCACCATCGCTGTATCATCGCGGGTCCTCTTCAACATGGACCTGGAGCAGCAGATCTTTGAGCAGAAGGGAATGGAGGAATATCTGAAGTATCAGATTGATCATGAGACAGAGCTGTTTAAACCAGGACCTGCTTTCCCCTTCATTAAGGTTCAGATCAAACAGCCACACAACTGTGGTCACTCAGACAGCATTTGTTTTTTATTTCTTTTATTTAGTACAGTTTTGAGAACGACAGTTTTTTTTAAAGAGGATGTACAAGGTCGAAGAACCTTTTCAAAGTTTAAAGAACCTCAACATAATGTAAAGTTTCTATACTAGTTTTATTTTTAGTGATGGCATAAAACCAATACATTTACATATATCCGCCTATTCAGCCTACAGCAAGTTAGTTGTTAGTTAGTTGTTACTGTGTCTTTAGGGCCAATATGTATAAATGAGCTCTGGCTGCCTTGTATTGTGCCTCAGTCTGGATTAAAGCACTTCTTATAACTAAAGTACGAATTGGCGGAGCTAAACTGCTTTAGGCTGGCTGATATATGTAAATGCATAGTTTTTTTGTGACATTACAAAAACGATGAATTCTAAATGAGTGTTTTTGCAGTAAATAGTGTGAATAGTGAATAGTACATTTTTGAAACTTTAACAGTGTTAACCTCCTATTTAAAAAAAAAAAACAAGGTAAACCTGTTTTCCCATTGTGTTGGCCCTTTTAAAGGCACATTAACAAAAAACAACCGCTTTAATTGTACAGTGTATAATTCTGACTGTTTTTGTATGTGAAACTTATACTACTGTCATAAGAAGACCTTAAAATAAACTAAATACAAGAAAATGTACCTGCAAACCAAGAACCATTTTGGAACATTTATTGTTGAGAATGTACCATAAAAAGGGAGAGACAGACAGAGGAGAGGGAGTGAGTGATGTCTTTTGTTTGTGGGTCACCTCTAGGCTCTGGAAGCGGTCAATGCGCAGCTGAGAGATCTATACCCAGAGAGTGAAGAGCTCTTTGATGTGGTCCTGATGACCAACAATCATGCTCACGTCGGAATCAGGCTCATCAACTCAATCAACCACTACAGTAAGGGGAGAGCTCAAAGGGAGGGCTGGACAGGCTGGCTAACATCTCATTACTGTCTGCCTCTAAATGGACTGGACAGTAGCTGTTTAGTACTTCAGACCTTTGAAATTATCTGACCCAGTCTCTACTGAAATTGTCCTAATGGAAGCAGCTGAGATGTGTGATGCTTGGTGTGATAATGTGTGAACTCTCTTTTTTTTATAATGTTGGCCATGGTGGCTGTGAATGTGGGGGATGGTGTGAGTGATGGAGAGAGATGTGAGAAACCATCTACTCTCCCCTTTTGCATAATAGTCAAGCCAGTGGAAGTAGTAGTTCTCTCTTTTTTAACACTTTATTAACAGGGACATGGGTGACCCTGCAGTTTCATTAAAATAATTGCCACAAGTACAACAACACAAGAAGAATTAGGTAATATGCATCAGATTCTTGAGATTTCAGCAGAAAAGATGAGTGCGGAACGTTTTCTCTACAATGTTTTCTTTACATTTTCAGTGGTCTAAGAAAATTAGTCTATATTAGCTCATTAAAATCACATACTTTTTCTTTGGTTCAGTAGTCAATGTAATGACAATGTTATATATCCTCGCTTTCAAACTCCCTCATCTTGCATAAAATCCTGCAGCAGACTGCAGAGGAAAGAACAAAGGTCTTACCTTTCACTCCTCATTGCTCACTAGCAGCTCAACACACAATCACAATATTTCACACAGAAAGAACCAACAGTGTCCTAGTTAATCTAAATCTAAGTTAAATGGATTTCATTTCTGTCTCTCTTAGAGCTCTTTATTGAGCGCTTCTGCATGACTGGAGGTAACAGCCCAATTGGGTACCTGAAAGCCTACCACACCAACTTGTACCTGTCTGCTGACTCAGTGAAAGTGAGAGAGGCCATAGAGGAAGGTGAGAATGGAACCTGTATGGAAATGAAGAAGTGTGCTTAAGGTATCTAATTTTTTTCTGTAGATTTCCTACAGATGCCACTGATTGTTTAGCTGAGATTCCTGCTCTTGTGCTTCTTAAGGCATTGCAGCGGCCACCATGTTCTCATCAGAGAAAGTGACACAGGTGTCAGAGACTCAGCTGCGAGTGGCCTTTGATGGAGATGCAGTGCTGTTCTCGGATGAGTCAGAGAGGATCTATAAAACACAGGGCCTGGACAAATTCTTCGAACATGAAAAGGCCCATGAAAACAAGCCCCTTGATCATGTAAGTCAATACTGACCAGAACATTTACAATGGGGTGGTAAACTTAGGCAGTTTTACTGAGGTGGCAAAGAACTAGAGAAAAAAAAAAACTAACTTGTACTGTCATTTAAATAAGGAAAATAATGGCAGAAAGCAATATATAACATAGATATTAAAGTTCTAGAGTAAAAAGGACTGAATCTATATCATATATAGAAGTAAAGTATGAAAACAAGCACTAGTCTGAACATTGTTAAATATCTTCCACTACAGCCATGATGCACAAACAGTATATTAGTTGTGTAAGATTTAAGAGACAATGCCAAATATTGTGGCAGATAATGTTTGGCTGGTTTTAACTGTGCTTTCCAAATGCTGAAAGCCAATGTTAGCTGCTTCTATTGACTGCTTCTGGCAAAATGAACAAGGTTAAAGGAATGATTGACTAAAAAAGATCAAATTTGCACAATTCTCCCCTTACTCCAAACATAGCCAATCAGCCAGGACATTTTTAGTTGTTAAGCTTCTTTAGTTTTGTACTGGAGCTAGGAGGCTAATATAGCTAACAAGTAATTGAAGTCTATATGACCCAAATTCTTTTAGAGCTTCAGTGCAAGTGCTGGTGGTAAAGTAAAGTATAAGGGAAATATTAATTATTATACTGCAGTAAGATGTACAGTACTACTGATTTAGAGTTTTAGTGGTATAGTTGCTCTATTTTGCCCTTTCTTAGCTCAACAGTTGTCTCCTTGCAATAGGGTCCACTAAAAGGATTCTTGGAAGTTCTGGGGAAACTACAGAGGAAATTTTATGCCAAAGGCCATCGTATGGACTGTCCCATCCGCACTTATCTGGTGACGGCTCGTAGTGCAGCTAGTTCAGGCTCCCGAGCACTGAAAACACTCCGTGCTTGGGGTTTGGAGACAGACGAGGCCCTCTTCCTGGCTGGAGCTCCAAAAGGCCCCATGCTGGCGAAGATCAAACCTCATATCTTCTTCGATGACCAGATGTTCCATATAGAGGGGGCTGCAGAGCTTGGCACTGTGGCAGCTCATGTTCCATATGGAATTGCCCAGAAGCTGCCACCAAAGAAAACGAAGGATGCAAAAGAGACTGATTCACCTCCTAAGTGACCGAAGTGGATATTTACATTGAGAACATGAATAAAATAAAACACATTATATATTCTGTTCTTTTGAATTTAGAAAAAGTCTATGATAAACTGCAATGTTTCCATGATAAAGACAATGATGAAGAGAAGATTTGACTCCTTGTATTGAATGTTTTAGTTATAACCAGGACTGGCATGTTAATAATAACAGCCTTAAACACTGTTCAGCCTTTGGGCTGTTTTCAGCAGTGCCGTACTTACACTTTCTCCACTATATTAGGGAGCTAAAGTCTGTGGAGTCAGACGAAGTTAAACGTCATGACGATATTTGCAATCCCTTCATTTAAATCCGTTAAGCATAGCACACTCACTAAGGGCTTGTAATGACAGTACACATTTTACAGGTACCACATAATTGTAAAAAAAAAAAAGTTTGTGCCTCTATTTTTTAAGTTAATAATGCCTGGATTCGAATTGTGGATTGTTGACAGTCAATACAGATCAGCAATTTCGAGTAGGTCACTCAAGTTGTTGGCACAAGCTGTCCTAGTTTGATGAATAACTGTGTTGATGTGTAAATTTGTTTTACCTTCTCATCCTTTAAATTATTGTGCAATGGTGTTTTGGATCAGTGTGAAAGCATGTGAGTCTGTTTTGTAAAACTATAATGGTCTGCACGTTCTCTTATTGTACTCCTTTACAGTGTGCACTAACCTTCGTCTCTGTGCTGATGTTCTAAATTATTGTTTTCAATGTAATACCGGCTTAACTCATGAAAGACAAACTGCCATACCTCTTAGACAAAGATGACATTATTTCTGGTTATTGACTGTGAGGGGAAAAAAATTATATTTTTTAAGTTGCACTCCTATTAAAGTCAGGGGCTGTATTATAAATTGAAAGTCCTATAAATCGTTCCATTTATTATTATATTTTTTTGTTTATTTGACAAAAATGTGTTTAATATAAGTGTAAAGATGTTTATATGTAAAAAAATATGTTTAATATATTTAAAGATTTTTGTGTTCCGTAAGATATGCTGTACTTAAGCATCATTCCGTGTTGTATTAACAATATTCAAATATTTAACAGAGACAGTACGCATGAATCAACATCATGATTTTAATGAATACTTTATTTCTTTTCTTATAAATATGATTAACACTTCTCACGTAGGCAGAACAAAAATCACAAGGAAACATTGAAAGGTGATTACAAACCACAAAAGTTTGTAAGTATACAGAACTTACAATTAAGTGTTATGTTGGCACTTTCTGGTTATACCATGTTGTGTTTGTAATCAAATCAGTGATTGTCAAACCTCGTCAGTCATGGGTGAGCGAATTCCAATCCAAAGTGACGGGTGAAAAGAGAGTGCAGACTGACCAAAAGCACTTTTCCTTTTTGGTATGATGCAGTCACCTCCTGTAATGGACCTATTTGTGACTTCAGACTTTCAAGGCTTGTTTAAGGCCTGCTGTCCCCATAATCTAAACCATTTTATCTGCCACTGTAATCAAACTATGTCTAATAAATCTAAACTTAGACTAAGTTAATTGTGACCATTTTCACTTTTCACAGACACCTCAGCATTCTTTGCATAGGCCTACATGCTTTTTAAGAGTGGTTGAAGTGCTTTTTAAGAGTGGTTGAAGTAGTTTATTGGAAAGTGTAGCATGTAGTCAACGTATCTTCATCACATATATATATATGTGTGGTGTGTGTTTGTGTGTGTGTGTGTGTTTTGTTTATTATTGTGTACTTAGCTGGTTCTGCCAATTTTTTTGAAACTACTTAGTGGTAGAGCCATTTTTAAAGTGATAAACATGCAATTTTTGTTTATTAGTTACTTAGAAGGTAGATTAAGAATTTATTGAAAAATGAAATGATAGAAAACATCACTAACTTGGCTGCTTTTCGGGGAAATTGTTACTGAATGAAGAGCTTGAGATATGTTCTGCCTCCTTTGCTCTCATACGGAAATCTGATATATATATGCATGCACACCACAAAATTTTAATTCTGGAATATTTAAAAGGGACTACAGGTTTAGATGCTACACTGTGATTTGTTAGATCTCCATCTAAACCTCCAACTAATTTTGAGCTAAGATTCACTTCCAGGGCAGAGTTCCTCATGTCTTCAGAAGCACGTCCCTGGTGGGATTATACTGGTTAATTGTTTGTTGTTCTTGTTATGCTTATTATTCCTTATTATTACTGACAGATTTAAAGCGCAAGTAGCGCAAGAGAATGAGGCCTAATTGTCAGATAAGAATTTTTAAATGAGAGCTAATCTGCTCTCCTGATCTTGTACTAGAGGGCGCAAATGTTTACAACAGACACTGTATGTAGAGTCAGTGGGTCACAGGCACAAAGACTGAGAATAATCTGAGAATAATTGCTCATGGAAAAAAAGCACATGAAGAAAACATAAATACTGATAAGCAGTAATTTTCAATGGAAATATAAACATAAAATATGATCAAACCCTTCACACACACACATATATATATATATATATATATATATATATATATATATATATATATATATATATGGGCGAATGAAAAGTGTACTTTTGTGTGTCCTAAGATGGTTATTTGTAGATGAAAAATTCACCCAAACCTTATAAAACGAGTAAATATTAAAAACATGATGTTTCTGATAGTGATTAGCCTGTCCTAAGCTAGCTCAGCAGCAACATGAAGTTCACCGGTCAGTGCTGGTCAGCGTTTTACACTCCAGCCATGTCGGATCAGTTTACATGAGTCTGAAACGAGCAGATCAACTATTCATTTATTCATTTAAGTCACAAACTTAATAAAGGTCATGTAGCTTCACAGCTACATGCGTTGCCATGGTGACCCATGCTGGCGACTGTGACGTCATCGACAATAACAGCACTGTGACATATTCCGGTGTTACGGTAAATTCAGTTCCCCCTGTTCCCCCCTCATTGCTCATGTCGAAATCATGACGTCTTCAGTCGCGCTCGTCTGCGGGGCTTAGACAGGCTTAATTCGTTTGTTTTTGTACCGTTACTTCGTCCTATTCCTCGCGGTAAGCGAATCATCACGTTGTTTGTAAAATGACTTGTAGTTAAACACGTTTTAAAGTGTAAAATGTGTTGTTAGCAGATGTTTTAATGCTCAAACACTACGTGGGCTATCTTGCTAATGCTAGCTTTGGCTCCGTTTTCAACTACTCCGAGTAACAGAAGTTAGATTTATTGCGCCATTTCTGATTTAATTACCGTTCATGCAGACACATTTTGTTGTCAGACTTCAGTGATTTTAAGGTGTATTTATGTCCCATATCCTCATCAGTCTCGCTACGTTCTGTAAATAGATTTGAAACATTTGTTGCTGAAATAAATAAACTGCATTAAGTTACAAAGCACAGTAATTAGTCTGTGTTATTATTGTTAGACTACGTATCTCAGTGCACCTAGGAAGTTGGTTTCCCTGTAGTTTTTGAGGCTGAAGTCTTACTGTTATGGTACTAATGTGACTTGTCTTTACAGTAACTTTTATTCATATTTTATAATCTTTAGAACTGAGAATACAGGGGGAACATCTTTAACCAGGGCCTTAGAAAAGTGGAGTGGATTTAATGTACAGCAATGATGCTGATAATCTATTTCTGTGCATGATCATTTCGCTCAGTAACTTTTATTCATATTATACCAACTTTAGAACAGAGAATACAGGGGAAACATCTTTAACCAGGCTCTTAAAGAAGTGTTTTCTGCTTGTATATTACAGCTGGAGTGGATTTACAGTACAACAATGATGCTGATAATCTATATCTGTGCATGATCTTTTCACTCAAAAAAAATACAAAATTAAATACAACAAAATAAATAAACAAAATATATAATAATTAAATAATAATTTAGAAAATCATATCATACAGATTTCCCAGACACTGAAGGATTCAAAATATGTTGCAAAGCTCCAGATATATTTGGGGGATGTATTGTTCTTTTGATTTATCATTTTAAAGGCTATAATTCCTCCTACAAATGTACACAAGTCATTTGTGTCTGTAAATTCTGACAAAAGAGAATTACAGAGATATATTTTATGAAGAATTTTGAAATGTGTCCCTCTGGTCTTGTTGGGATTACAAAACCTGTAAGTAAGTAGCCAAGATCTTTTCCAATCCATGTGTGAGATTGCAGTGAAGTCCAGACGAATTTCCCTCTTGGGGTCATTTTAAATAAAACAGAATATATTTATTATTACACTGTGTGTCAAAGATGGAGAGTCTATTAAGGACCAAGGCGGAGTTTTTACACACTTGCCTGCGAATATAACGTTTCACCGAATCGTTCGAACTGGTGACGTAGAAACGAGCGAGACAGTCGAACTTTTTGATTCTGTTTCGAATGCTCGCGATTTCAAACGTTCTCTGCGTCATCACGAGCTGGACTCCGTCCTAAACTCTGTAGATTCCAGTGTTTGTACAGTTATATCCTGTATGACTCGAGGTCACGAGCGAACAGTCTGCACTTCAGATTAAATGGGACCAAATGTTTCATTTTGCTCGAATAGTTCGAATGATTCGGAATGACCAGCACGAGCTCGAACCATCAATGAAAACAAATGAAGGCAAAATGCGTTGTATTTCACTAATGGACATTACATGCTCTTCTATTTGAATGATCATTACAGGTTGTGTTATCACAGCGAATATGTACATCATGGGGCTCCATGCTGTTTCTCTGCTAGTTATACATGAGAATATTGTATTTGTTTACAACAGCGTCAAACTGAAGGATGAAAGTGCATGAAGTGCTGTATAATTTGCTATATTAGAAAATTTTGGCCCGCATTTATCAGTCATCTCAGAGAAAGATCACTGATCTAAGATAAGGTCTCTTGAGATAATATAATTTTATTCAGTGTAATATAAAAAGCGTAAGCTGATCCTAGATCAGTATTATTACTCTAAGAAGACTGATAATACAGGCCATTGAGAGGGTGAGCCATGTTCATGATTAGACAGACAGATTGATCTTTATTGTCATGAAAAAACATTTAGCAGCTCTAAAATGGACATAAAAATTAAGCAGACATAAAAAAATTAAGCCACAATAATCACTGCAGTTACAACCACACAAATGATGATGACTTGATGATGACAGACTTTTCAGTGGCTGATGTCTGACCACCAAAAATCAGAATGGTTTGTATGCTGTGGAAAATGTGCTTGTGATTTATCTGTCTTTAGAGTGGAAAGCGAAAGGACAGAGGTAAGGGCTCCCTTCGTCCCTCTAAGAAGAGGGAGCTCAAAGCTGCTGAGGACAGTGGCTTCAACCAGCTAGCACCTCTCATCCAAGAGCAAGGAAAAACCTGTCAGGTATATGGATATACTTTATCTGAGTGTTAAAGCTTGGTATTTTGTGTGTCCAACTCTGGGCATGTGTGTGTTTATGTATGTGTATGTATAAAATATGTATGTGTATATGAACAATATAAATGCATTTGTGCTTAATTCTCTTATATTCTTGTATTTTATGTTCTGTTTAGGCTCTGGATGTAGCTATATTTGCTCAGTCATATGGTGTCCTACCACCGATCAAAGGTATCTGTCCACCACCAGTTTGTGCCTTGAAAGATAAGAACTTAAACTGAGAGGTTTTATTGGTGCCCAAGTGCCTTGTAATTTTGGGAATAGTTTGTCTGCATATTTGAATTTCAAGAGGGCAGAATCAACTGTTAAATCATTTTGTGGTTTTAAGTTCTAAGCATAACAATGTGGTACCTAATTTAACTGGGCTTCTCCTTTGTGTGACTCTCCCCCAAATAATTCCAGGTGATTGGTTAGAGAAGGTTGGCCTGGATGTACATGATGATCCATCTCCACCACCTCCTGTGCAACCAGAAAAGTGAGTGTTGTTTAGGTTTTCGGTGTGTGTTTTACTCATTTAATAGATTATTTAAGTCATTTGTTTACACTCAAGACTAAAGCCAACCTTTCATCTTTCAC